TATTTTAAAATAATTAAGTTAAGTTACATTAAAAGTTACTTATATTTTTTTCGTTAACTCTTTATGTTAAAAGTTAACTTTGAAAAAAAGTTTCTTACCTTAGTTTAAAGTTAAATTTTGCTAAAATAAAAAATTGCACACATAATATTAGTAATATTAGTACTTTTACGTTCAAGAAAATTATACATAAAATGTATTAATTAGCTAATTGATAACTATTAATAACTAATTAATTAATAAAGAAATAATAAACTTTCACAGAAATATAATAAGCTAATAAATTAATAAACTAATAACAATATATTATACATTTTAACGAGATGTGAACAGACCACATGCTAGTTGAATAATGAAATTAAATTGGAAATTGTACCACAGTTGTTTTGTAATTAATCCCTTATCCGACACTAGATCTAGACAATAACAATGTTATAAAACTAAATAATGGTAAATAAATAACTAAAATAATGGTAAAATAAAGCCCATATAATGACTATTAAAGTTATTTTTCATATTATTTTCGTCTACAGGAAATTCATATTAATAAAGTAAATTATGAATATACTAAAAACCTCATTTAATAATTTGCATTATTCTTTGCACTAAAATTAGCTTAAAGTTAATTTGTAAAAAAAGTAACGAGTTAATTATCTTAATTAAAATTAACTTAACGTTTTAATTTAATTTTAACTTTTAACTCGTTAATGCCCAGTCTTGATTATTATATTTTTTTATTTATTATTAATATATTCTCAATCAATCATTTATTAATGTATTCAATGATCAATTTCTATAAACTTCATAACATCATGTATGTATTTCACATTTTTGTTATTTTCCCAAAGTTTTAAAATGTTCATACTTTTGTGAGTAATCTAAGAAGCTAATATAGTATAAATGATGGTTTAAATTTAAAAAGAATTAATAATGAATCAAATACGCGTAATGAGACACAACGTACGTATGATGTTAAATTACATATCCTTGCGCCGTTATACTAAATCTTACAAAAACATGTACTGGTTTTAATTCTTGTTAAACAATTTGTCGTTCTGATGTGCGTTACGTGTGTGCCGTTTTATAACGCTGGTGATTACACACATTTAAATATCCACATTATTGGTATATTTAGTGTTGCTGTTGAAATAAAAAAGTGAAATAATTTGGGTTCGATTAGTGGCGTAAATTGGGTTCAATTTTTTGTGGTGCAGAGTCATATTCACAACTAATAATTTCCAACACAACTATTTTCCATATTCCTAAGCAAAATACTTCCCAAAAAACTATGTTTACCCAGGGGCATACCCAGAATCGAGGAACTGTGGGTCAAGCCATTTCAAGAGGCCATTTATTAGGGATGAAACTGAATTAGAAATGAATACCTTGTAAAAAAAAAAAACACAATATGCTCATAAAAGAGTATAAGTATATTTATATTATATTTTAGAATTAGTGATACCACCGATAATGACTTATTTACGATTAATAAATATAATCTAATTTTATCAGCGCAACACACGTACGGAATAAAATATGATTTACTTAAATTTTTACTAAAACGATATAATTTAAAATATAAATTACAAATTTAAAAATTTTAAATTTTGAATAAACAATGCATTCGTTTTTCTAGTAACTCTGATGGGCCAACTGTCCAAGAGTCCAAATCAAGGTCTAATAAGAGAAAAAAATTTCCAAGAGGCCAATTTTGTTAACAAATATTAATTGTGGGTCAGCTGACCCCTGAACCCCCCCTTAGATCCACCCCTGTTTTTACCATATATTTCTTTAAATAATAAATACATTTTGAACTATTTTAGCAGTAAAACCTTTATTGTTATAATATTAATAAAAAAAACCAATCAAAATTTTTTTTTTAGTATGCTGGTTTCCTTAATTTTTAAAAATATTATAAGTGTAAAATTTTCAATAATATTCTGAAGATGCAAAATATACCTTTTCACCACCACATTTTAGATGTGGTGGTGCAAGTGCTACATTTTCACAACCCCGTTTACGTCACTGGGTCCCAGAGCTGTCCCGAAGGAGGTATCTCACACCCCAACAAAAACACCAGAGTGCAATGCGTTTTCTGATGGCTATCGGTGTGGTTTTGCAGGCGTCCGTCGCGACACACACACAGCCCAGATGTATTCGGCCGGCATTGCGTCTGTCAACGGCCCTTTGCACCACTCGCGTGTGATCCCCCGTGTGTTTTTGTTTCGTTGTGCGTGAATGTGAACCAGACTATTTACGCCTCCGTCATGCCAACCAGTATCGGTGTGTTTTCCGCCACTTGATTCTCGGGTTCATACGCGCAAGGGCGTCGACCTCGTTTCCGCCTGTGTCTTCCGATTATCACCGTCTGGTGTATATTCTTGTTTGTTTGCGTTTCGGCCGCGGTTGTTTTGTCACCACCACCATACTGTAACTTTCCATCCAGCCAGCTCCAGACTTCAACGTTCTTCATCAACGGCGTCATCCCATCTGTTCCAGGAGGGTCAGGTCACGTTCGTCTTTTCTTCCTTTTATTATTATTATATAGCTATTTGATCGTATTAGTTATATATTATTCAATATGTGTTAATATACGTCAATTAGTTTAATTTTATTCAGTTTATAGTATTATTGGTCACACCAGGTTACATACATATATATCTCATCCTTATTCTTTATACAGTCCGCTGTCTTGTTATCTTTATATTTTCTTCCAGTTAAAATTAACAGTAATACTACCGGCGAAATACGCCGAGTAAAATTCTTTATTCGATTTTATGGTCCTAGTCGACACCAAGAGTTTATATTTATAATAGTGAAAATAAGCGAAATTGATGATGAGTTTGATGATACCGCTTATTGATAATTTTTTTTTTTTTAGAATTATTTTTAGATTTGTGATTTTACATAAACTTTATATATAACAAATTATTTGGAAGTTTTTTTTTTTTTTGATTTTTGATATCATGTTTAACTATGTGAGCGAAACGCTCATACGTCAACAATGACGTTAAAAATAGAACATCAACAATAACGAGTTAAACTAGCTTGATTAATCGGAAATTTAAATTACGGTATTTATTGTACATAGATGAAATCGGGAATCATAGTGAGTGATATGGAAATTTAAAAAAAAATTGCACAAGGTGGATGAATATATGAAACATTAACTGAAAATTAAAATGAAATAATTTAATTAATGAAAAATGAACATTAATTTATAATACATATCACATTAATATTAATATTGAATCAATAAGTATTATTGAATAAATATAATAATAATTTTTTAATAAGTATTAAAAAAAAAAAAAATGTATATAATAATTAAAAAAAGTTACAAACATTTATGAATGAACAGTATGAAATAAAAAATACATAATCGAGATTTGAAATTATAAGGATATAATAAACAATTATTAAACATATATAAAATTTTCCTATTAGTTAATTAGACAAAAACAAAATCTTAAAGTAGGCGCATTACAATAAGTTTAAAATAGATACTTTACGAGAAAATTAACTTTCTAGCCAAGATTTTAGTGTGTCAAATAATAAACTATAAACGATGAACCAGTTTTAAAAAGTGTTTTTGAATATAAAATGTCATGAACATAACTCATATAGAATTATTAATAAATAATAAGTATTCTTATTTTTTTCGCCCAAATATAAAAATGCTGCTAATACATATATATATTTAAGTAAATCTATAAATCATAATTAAATTATTATGTAATTTATGCAAATTAAACTATATTTATTACTTATTAGTATAATATATATTTGTATTATACAAGTATATAAATGCAATTGTTATTATTAAGTACCTGTAGTTTTTTTTTTATTCGTGGAGGTTTATAAACTCTTGTTATTTAATAACTCGTTTAAAATATTTTAAATTAATATAATATATTTTCTTGTTGTATTACTATATATATATTATAATTTTGTTAATTAATTATAATTTTATGAAAGTTTTAGTATAATATATATAATTTTTTCAATATAATTCAGGAATGATAATGAAGATTAAAACGTTTATACAAAATATATTATGACAACCATTTTAAAATTTAATTATCATTAAATATAATACAAACATAAAATATTAAAAATATTAAGTATTTTTATCAATTATATAGAACACATAAATAATTTAAATAGATAAAATATTAGGCAACATATTTTGGCACAAATTTTGAAATATAAATATTATTTGTTATAAATGTATTATAATATAATAATAATAATATAATTGTAGGTTACATATGATCTAGATTTAGATAAATGTTAAAAAATATTCTATTAAATTTAATAGATATTTTTTGAAATGAAACTCTCTATAAAACTATATTTTTTGTTTCATTAATTTGATTCGAAAGTAAATTGTTTTTATTGTAGGTGATAAATATATACAAGATAATAATGAGTACAATTTGGAAGTATATTATGTAAATGAGAAACTCTCAGATTTCTGTGGTACAAGTAAAATGTATTAATTATTTGAAGAAAGGACACTAGTTGAAGTTAGTAATAAACAGTTAAAATACATTTTTAAGTTTGTTTCAAATGAATGATTAATAAATTGTAAACACATAAATTATGCTTAATTGCATAAAACTATCTAATAGTATCTATACGCTGAACTTGTACCAAATATTAAAATATTTAATTGATTAGTTTGTTCAAATATTTAGTACCTAAGTAATAAAATATATTATCTTATACCAAATTTTTAATCTGTGCATTAACAATGATAAGTGTTTTGAAAGTTTGAGTAACTGAAAAAATAATGAATGAAAATGATTTAATAATTATTTGATGCTTAGTACTTATATATCATATCTATGTATCTTAAATAATTTAAATAGTTTAAAATATTTCAAATATATGATTATTTTAAACTTGATAAACAGATTAGCATCAATTGAAATTGAATTTCATACAGATCTCAAATCTATTAATATTTGTTAAAATGTCAACGGAATTTTTTTTAACAAATATTAAGCTTGTTATTTGTTAATCATTGAGCATAGGCGTGCGCAAATAGTAATTGAAATATATATGTTTACATTGATAAAGGTAACTTTTGATTATCATTGGTCCTTAATAATAATTTCGTTTTAAATTAATAACAATATAAATTTGTTATTCATTTTTATGTAATAAATTGATATTTCGTTATTAATATTTTAAGGTAAAATTTATCTTTTAATAACCCTCGCAGTCTTTTTGTATTAGAATAAATCTGATTATTTAAAGTGAAAAAAATGTAGTACTTATTTATTAGACGTAATGCCTAATTATTGACTTAATGGAAGTTTTTGGTAAAATCAAAATTAAGGCTAATGCACACGCCTATGAACTCGGAGTTCTCTCGGATCAAGTTTTGTCAGAACCAACTAGATCGCTAGATCCAATTGAACTAATGGTCGAACTGGAACCATGATGTGTGCCTGAACTCTGCATCGACATGGTTCTTTCGGTCGTTACTGTACCAATTGTACTACTGATACCCATCAGCCCATGGTAATTGCCCATTCTCAAGGCCCTCTTCAATTTGTCGGGATCGACACAGGAGGGGTCTGCCTAGAACAATAACATCATGAGCACTCGTTTACGAATCGAGCATTATTTAGTCATTGAGCGTATAATTTTTTCTGTAAAAAAAAATATTTATTTAATTCAACATAATAATTTTTACGCACCTGATAAGCTAATGACGTCATGATCACTTCATATGGAACCAGTTTTAAGGGTTCCACTTCGTTCATCAAAACATTAGCCGGTATTTTGTGATACTGAATGGAGGACATAAAATTTTCTACGAAAACTTCTTTCCAATCGACGTTCGAATTAGTATCGCCATATTTCATTGTCCACATAAGTGCAGCCTTTATATACCACAATTTAATTATTAGTAACCTTTGTTACTATTGGAAAAAATTATTTTATAGTACCCAATATTTACATACTTGAAATTTAGTAAATTCGTCTGCTTTCAGTTCATCTCTACTTAATATCAACCGGACCACATGTAGTGGTAATAAAGCAAATGATCCTAAATTCAAAACTTCATTTCCATGTTCGTCGACGAATTCCAAAACCTAAAATTTCAACAATAAGAACTTCTTAAATTATACGATTGGCTACGATAATTGTTAGAGTAAAATGTTATTTACCTTCTGCACAAGACTTTTGGTGCATTTATATTGTATATATCGTTCAGCCGACGACAAGAGCGCACAAACAGTGTCTACATTTATACAACATTGGACGAATCCCGTGCACGCTTTTCGTAAATCTTCCAGTCCATAATAATCTGCTGCATTCAGTACTCCTATTTACATAACAATAAATTAATATCGATACTTAATATAAATACTTATAAACAAATAAAAAACTTAAAATAAAAAAATAACATATTCAAAATAGCCTTACCCAATAACGTCCTGGGTTGCAAAGTTACGCAACCAGTGTGAATGTATTCAATGAGCTGACGAAACACGTCTGGTTCAAATTCATCAACTATGACTGTTTGATGCTGATTAGATTGTGTCTGTTATGATAAAATATTAATTAAACATTTTCGATGGCATGTAAAAAACTAACAATTTTTGTTTTTAATTATATTATAGAATTTTTAATGATATAAATTTATTTCGAGTAACTATCATGTAGGTACTATAATCATACTTGAGTATTAGCGTTTTTTACATTGAGAAGTGGTTCACTGCTACGTTTTAGAAATGTAGGCCGTCTAAGTTTCGTAGTCTCTTTTGGTATAACTTCCTTTTTCCTTTGAGGACTTGGTGGTTGATATAGCATCTTATGAAAAACTCTAAAAATATAATATTTAATAAATTATTAACAATAATTTTTTCATAGTTTAATAATTCATTGATCAAATTTTTATCAAACTCAATTTACACTAATATGGATCTAATTATTTATAAAATAATAACTTTATTTGGGTTAATTTGTGTCACTAATAAATTATTTATTTTAATAACTAACTTATATTTAAAAAATTAATACTACAAAATTTTTTTATTTTGCTTTTAATTCTGATAATTATTTGATTTTTAACTTATAGCGTCTTATATACTGTGAAGTAAGTATTAAGTATATTATGTATATAGTACATTTTAACTCTGATTATAAAAGAAACTAATACTTTAATCAAACTTATAATTTTCTTCTGCACTTATGAATGCATTTTTTTAATAATAAAATTATAACAGTAAGTTAGCATGCTAAAAATATTGATTACTCATAATATAAATTGATATTAGGTTCATTTTAAGCAGTTAACCAATAATACGTATTATTAGTTTGTCATTCTATTAATATATGAATAAAGTGTTGTAGTATATAAATTAATGATTTTGTCGATTTGTGATCTATTTTTATTTCATTTTTGTAAAGTGCTGAATGTTAAAATTACTACATATGTAGCTGTCCATTAATCATATGCAACAGACTGTTGAACATCCATTATTCAGATAGTTTTAAATTCTACATACAAATATTCTTACATAATAAATTCAATACAAAATACGCTTTGTATATTCATGTTCAAAAGCTTTTTAAGTTAAGCTTATCCTCCCCAATATAATACAATTGATGTCACATACATTTTATAAACAATTTATTTTTAATGAATGTAACAAAAAGTAAAATAAATAATCAAATTATACTCGTATAGGCAATAGTAAATTTTACAATTAACTGTTATAAATATCTTACCGACTTCTTGCAGCTAAAACCGCTTTAACAGCACACACTGGCTCCCTTGTGTCACCAACTAAAAAAGTGACATCACATAATTCGGGCATACTGGCCAAAAACGCCATGTCGTCGGCTAGACCATTTTTATTTTCGAACACACTTTGGTCAAGCTCGTCATCGGTTGATTCCATGTCTCCTTGTAGTCTCATTATTTACCACATACCTAGATGAAATAATACAATCAATTACATAGGCGTGCGCAGACTTTGTCTTCAGGAGGGGCCTCTTAAAAAAAGTGAACCAAAGATTACTGTACTAAAGACTACTAGTATAATTAAATATTTTATATTTTATAAATTATTTATTTAATTCAATATGCAAATATAAAAATAAATACTATTTAAACTTTCTATCTAAGAAATCCTTATTTACATATTACTATACTATTTACAACTCCATCCTTCTGTCCACGGGAGTAAGGTTTTTGAATGTATCAATTACATCTTCAATTTTTATATTAAATGCAAGTTCTGATTAGTCTGATTAGTAACTAATAACTTTATTACATTTATTCACAGATATCAATTCTATACTATAAGATTAAAACTTGCTTTACCTTATTCATGTAAAATGTAAAAATGTTCGCTATCTTGTATAATATAGATATACCTTTATTAAAGAAAAAGCCAGAGTCCGCAGAGGGAGCAGCGGCCCACCCGGCCAACACCGTACTCACGCCTATGATCAATTAATTTGATAAATTATAATTCACATTAAAAATCCTAAACGTAAAAATATACATGAAACTCGATTTCTACGTCGATGAACATGGATTTCTTATGCAGTGATGCATTTTTCTTTTAATCGTACCTATGAAAAACCATAAATACCTACTAAAATACAAAACTGGTGATTATAAATGTATAAAGCATATTAAAAAATAGTTTCTTTTTTGTGTTTTTACAAACATTTTAAATGTTGATGCAGATTCGTTCGAATTTAAACAAGTCTGACAATAAATAATACCTACACGCACAATCGAAAACAATAATACAGTCAATTTAAAATAACAGTAATTAAAATATAAACATAGTTAATAGCTATACCTATACAGCTATTCCAAATCAAATTATTTAAGTTATTTTTTAAACTACCGAAATGAGTGAACCAAGCTACTATACTAGCTCCTCTTTTAAGAAAATCGTTTTTAATTTATCGTTTAATATTTCAATTGAGAAAAATAATATTTGACGGGTTTCAAACAATAGAATATATTGACTATCTGCAAGTCGCTTGAAAATCCACAGTTGATATTGTTTTTACAAAATGATACAGAAAAAAATACAAATATTTTAGTGATTAAACGCATTAAAAATTTACATTTCATGAAAAAAATTAAACGAAAATCATTAATAGTTTCTTAAGTTAGGTATACAGAGCTTTTTCAGTTAAAATTAATAATTTTGTAAAATATATTTCATTAGGAATAGAAAACAAAACAAATAGTAATTTTTAGTATATTTTCTCTACTAAAATAATTATGTTTTATACATTTAAAATGTTTTTTTTAGTTAAACTACAACATTACAATTTGATCTACTTTATTCAACATACATTTTATATATAATTTATATTCAAATTATATTGGCCAAAAATAAATGTAAATAATATAAAATGTACATCAAAGGATTTTTGACTTTGTAGTGATTTATTTATTTATGCTTACATAAATAATATAATTTAGATGATTTTCGTGGAAATTCGAAGTTTTAGTACAAAAACCATTACTCGATTTATTGCAAAAATAATTCAACAAAATGAAAGTAATTGCTTTTAGGAACTAATAAAATAACTAGCAACCCCTTTGATCAATGTTTTGCGAATGATATAAAACAATTATGAGACATACTTTTGTTCTGTATGATTTTACTTATAAAATATTGATAAAATAAACAGTTTTTAAAACTTTATTTATACTATAAAGGTAAGATATCTTGTCATTTTAAAAGTAATTTATTCAATTAGAATTTGGCTGATAATATTTAATTAAATAAACTAGTTTCAATATGCATCTTTAGACTTTATTCAAAAATGAGAATTCTGGATTCATGAAGAACAGTTTTACGAGACTGTTACTCGTATTTGCATGCAGGTAAAATACCGCTTTTTAAAAAAATTAAACATAATGTACCTAACTTAATTAGTTCTCAGTTTCCTTTTCTTTAAAAAAGTAATTCTATTAACTTTAACGTTATTAAATTTCTATTAATTGTTAATATAAGGGTATTTATAAATATTAAAGTATATCAATTAAATATATTGGAGCCTATATTTAGCCTTTATTTTTAAATATTTTTCATCTGGCTAAACGTTTCAAAAGTATTTTGATACAAATATGTAGGTAGATACAATATTGGAGCAGTCGTAATTTAACATAGGTACCTGTACAAAACAAAAAATGTAAGTTTGGATTTTTAGATTTCAAAAAAAGAAACCGGAACAATTTGTCATTCGTGATGAAGATTTACGTTACAATTTTCAAGATTTTTGTATTTCATTCATATCAGGTTCGTATATTACACAGAACAATATAGCTGTAATGTACAACAGTAATAACAATGCTTGAATTGTAGGGGGACGGAGTCCTACTGTTATTTCAGAAATATTTTTCCATATCCCTTCTAATTTTTTTTGCATGTGGCGGGATTCATTTTTTAATTTTATTACATTTATGCAAGTAAAAAAAAAAAACACTGTAATTTTAAATGTTATTATTAAAAAAAAAAAATAATAATTAAGATTTTAAAGTGATAAATTCAATAAATTTATTTATAGATTATAAATAACGACTACTGCGTTGTACGGGTACAGTGCAGATGGGAACCAATAAATGGACCACATACTATCGGTTTTAACAACAATTTTAACCGTAGTACATGTTTACTAGTACAATTTTCATTGAAATACGACGAACGATTAAACTTCTGAGCACATAGTATCATTAGTATTTATTATATGTGTTGGACCACCTGTGCAATTATTTAAAGTATGTATATGATTAAATTAGGTAAAAGAAGTGCAAAAGAAACAAGATGTCCAAAACGAGATGAACATAACATTGATCATTTATATCAGAATTTATGGGCATATTTAAATTTATAATATAAACAATTTTTTTTTATTAATATATATTAATTATAAGTACCTATACTTTTTTTTAATTTTAAAGTAAAAAAGAATATTTAATCATTTCTATATACTGAGAAATACGGTTGCAGTTGTGGTGTGGGCAAAGCTTTCACCTAACAATAAGACGTTTGCATGCACAGGGATAATTTTTATACTTTATCATCTTATTTTTATTTTTTTCCATTTAAAGCACTAAATAATAGTATTGTAGAACGGATTTGCGTTTTTTTTATCAATATTTTATTTTGTTATATGGTACTCATTTTTAAAATTATTAAATGGTCACACTGGTTTCTTATAAACACAAGTGATAGGAAATTATTTTTAAGTGCATTTTTTATATCACGCATATCTAATCACGGTATTGGTCAATGAAAACAATATACAATCCACAGGTTTTATATCATTGATTAGTCCGAGTGCGAATACTGCGAATACCAGTAGTGCGAGTGACGTAATTAATTCTTAAATCTTTTTAAACTTATAACTTTTCGTATTATGTAATTGTTAACTGACTTCATTCTGTGTATACTTTATACCAGTTTATATGTAGAGTAAGTATGTATTTTATTGCAGTTAATATACCTTATTCCTTTTATAGAGTTACAAATGAGGTCAATACTTAAATTAATACCCCTAGGTAATGTGTATGTTATCATCTTGGGTATGAATTAATATGACATAAAATTATCAATGACCACATTTGACGATTTTAAATAATGCATAAACAAGAAAATGGTATGTACACTAACATTATAAGTAGTCAAATTGTGGTTACATTGTGAACATAAGAATATAAACTCTTTTATATGCAAGATTTTAAAAAATTCATATGTAATTTTTTTTTTGTAATAATAACAATTAAAAAGTTTTTTTTCAAAAGGTATACCACTTATACAACTTTCGTAATTTTGGATAAACATTTTTCGTTCACAGGAAGTACTCTGTGAATAATTCACAGAACACCTATTTTTCAATAAGATTAGGAAATCTCTAGAAATAAATATTCCTTGTCTACAAGTTTTTAAATAAAACACGTTCCTTTGTAGTCCTTTGTAGGATTCTTTGATTGATATTGTTTAAATTATGTTAATATGTATATTTAATGTAAAACTAAAAAAAAATAAATATACTGTTAATTGAATAATATGTATAATTATTCACCTATGTATATAATAAGTTAATAATTTACCATATTTACATTGAAATCTATATCCATACAATTGAAATCTATACATACTAATTTAAAACAAACATTTTGATTAAAGCTTGGCTTTAAAATAATTAGTAAATGATTTAGTTAACAAATTTTAGAATAACTATTGTTTATATACTGTATAATTATTATATTATTTTAGGATATATTTTTAATTTTAAATTATTTATGAAAATTAAAAATTCTTGTTGTTTAAGTTTGATAAAATGTTATTAATGAAGCTTAAATAAATAGCTTAAAATTTTAATAATTAAAAGTAAAAATATATAATTTCTTCCCTACTGATTAATCACATGTTCTTTAAAAATTTTTGTCAATGTGTTTATAATAGTGTTATATTTAGTAGTTTTTTGTTATAAATCTAATACCATATAAATGGTGGCATATATTTTGTCAAATTAATTGTTATTACAGATGAGTTGCAAATCACCAGATATTTTTCAACGATTGGCTTTTTGGTATATAATTGATCAGTTTTAACTTTTATTATATTTATTAATTTTTTGATTATATTTAGTTTTTCTTAATGATGCTTTATTAATATATTATTATTATTTTTTTATTTTGTTCCGAACAGATATTATCAGAAGATAATATGGCCCAAACCACTACAGTTGAAACTATTACTATTACTAGACCTTTAAAAGTAAGTATTTTAGTATTAATTACAAAATAATTAATTACTAAAAGTTTTCATTTGATTAAATAAATTAATTTATAACAAACTAAGAATATTAATTCACATAGGTAGTTAGGTAATTATGAAATATTAAAAATTTTTATAATAAGACTTAGATCTAATTATTGTACTATTATTATAACTATGAATGTTTAAATAGTTATTTTTTATGATATTACTATGGTACTTCTAGACAAGTTCCTAGAAGGAAAGAATTAATATATTTTTGCACATATATCCTATTTACTAAATTATTTATTATTATATGTAGAACTCCCTGTAGTTTGTAGCCCTGGTAAAAAAAGACATATTAAAATTTATATTTTGATTTTATTAAATATATAATTTAATTATAAGATACCTAGTTATATGGAAAGTTATACAGTTGTAACAGTTATAATCACTTAACTCACAATACATATCAATAAATGAGACATAAATCAATTTCGTAAGTACATATTGAAAATTATGATTAAGATCTAACCTCTTCTCTAAACTGATTTGTATTAATCTGAAATGCACCATATTCTTTTGTGCGATGGATTTTTTAAATGATATTGTAGATTTAAACTATTAAATTAGCTGTGGTAAAAATTATTTTTTGATTGAAAAAAAATCATCCTTAATTTATTAATTTATTTCTAGGCAGGGAAAATTAAAAAATTATAAATATTTGTATGTAAAAAAAGAATAGTTTATTCATTATTTTATCGATTCCCGGACACTATAGTTGAAACAGTGAGCGTAACATATGTTTGTTACAGTAGATGATATATGATGCTTTCATTCAACTGGTAGTTGAACGGACAATTCTCCATGTGACGATTCTCCCTTGACAATATTTAATGTATGTACTCATATCATTCGGAATCCCGTAACAAACAACACAACGTCGTTTGATATTAATAAACACTTAACTAATAATAATAATAATAATAATAATATGTATACTGACTTTGAACAATTATATTTCCGACTTCAATCAGTGTTTCCGTGGTCGATGGATAGTTTACCACCGTAGTATGTATATATTGTGGCGCGGCGATCGTCGTTGTATCAGATGACGTGCTTGTGTACACTGTTCGTCCGTTTCAGTCGGTGCGGTAATGAAGCCGTTGCGATTGTTGAGTGCAGAATAGTGTATTGTAGCCGGGTGTTGAAAAGGAAATAACAATTTGAAAAACTACCCAAAATGTTGCGTGAAGAGAGCACCTAAGTCGGTCACGGAATACAGATCGTCGTCATGGCGAAAGAGTGACGGTGCAGTGAGGGGAAGTAACAGACGGAGTGATGGACGAAGTGAGTGTGCGCGGTCGTGGGTCGGAGGGACGGTAATAGGACGTACACCGTGTGATTGGATGCCGGATAAAACTTGAAACGTTCACCTCGGAACGCGTTCTGCGGTTATATGTAGGATATGGTGACTAAAGGCAGGACCGCGGACTGCGAAGCTCGACCGCGCAACCGCGACGTACCTGCAACGACGTCCGCTCTCACCGCCACAGGGTTCTCGCGGCGGCGCATAGATACCGCGTCCGACCGACCGACCGCGGACGTCTCATCGATCGGCCCTCGCGCACTCGACGCACTGTCGTCCATTCGGAAAAATGGCTTCTGGCGCGACGCGGAGGGAAGGACGAATCACTGTACATGTATGCGTGTGCTCGATGGGAGGAGGGTGATCCTTGTTGAGCATGCGCGTGTGGGGATTCGCCGAGATTCGCAAAGGGACGTGCGTGCGGGTGTGTGTATGTGTGTGTGAGTGTTCACTCGAAAAGAGTATATATTGACGCGTTGCTATATTGTCGTATAACGCAGTTGGTACGTATCGAATATTTTACGTGGAAATCCGGAGTGACACGGAGGACGTGTACGACGTTAGAAATATTTCTACGGTTTTCGCGAGACGGTCAAACGCGTTGTGTTCCGTTTTGTTTTTATTTTCGTTTCACCGCACGTGCGTGCCGCCACTGCTTGCCGAGTACATTTCACGCGAACTCACCCATTCTCGTATTCTCGTACGCGTCTACAAATACGCCAATACAGTAAATACGGACCATAATCACTTGTACCAGTGAAGCACGTAATCGCTCGTTATCTCCGTCGTCGTACGGCTCGTATTTTGTTTCTGATACGTTTTTGACGGTAAACTGCGAGGGGCATCTCGCCCTTAATCGCGTACAAGACGGGCGCGCGACACGGTGGCAAGCTGATCCACACACGGACTACCGTGGACACTAATACGTGGCAACGGCGCCAGGAACTGTCGCTGCATCCGGCGACAGCGACGGCTGCTGAGACGGAAGACTGGCACGGCAGGTCGATGCAGTCAGACAAGGGTTATAGTGCTCAGGTTAGGAACACACGTCGTCGTCGTTCTTCTATTTCAGAGTTTGGCTTAGCCGTAAGAAGTAATTTCCGAGCAGTGTTTTCCAATCTTTTTACCATCACGGACCACATCAATTTTATGAAAATTAGAGAGACATGATTTTGATTGGAGGGGCTAATTTGGATGTTGGAAGGGCTGAGCCTCCCAAATTGCGCTTATGGTTACCTACACACTGATAAAAGTAGGAAATACTTATCGATCGTTGGCAACAACATCGATAATAATATTCTACGGTTCTTCAATAATCCGTAATTTTTTCACTATTTAAAAAAAAAAAAAAAAAAATAGTAACAACAATTTCTAATAGAAATAGAAAAAAAATATATATGGGACCACCGGTTGGGAAACAATGTTGTAGAGCCTCGACTTGGACGTACAACGAAAAAACATTTTGTTCAATTACCCTAACTACCCCCGTATAGGATTCTTTATAGTTCTGGAGTATTTCTTTGAAATCGTTGAAATGTCTCGTATATTATTACGGCGTTATTACATGCATTGCTAATTAATCACGTAATGTAGTTCTTTTGACATTACGTTTATTATTTGTCAATTAAAAATAGTTAAGGGTTTATGCAGAAAAAAATATGTAGGTATTACAAAATTATATTTCATATTAAATGAATTGAAATTTAACTAACTAGTTATGTTGCCAGGTTGGTGCAGGTCTCTTTACATTATTAAAAAAAAATTTTCCAGTAACAAGACCATAAAAATTGTTTTTCGATAGATTATTTTTACATTACAACATTCATTAAACATTAATATACCATTCACGTTATTCACACTATTAATGTTACTGTAAATATATATATATTTTTTTTTTTTCATCAAGCAATACGCTTATTGTTAATTTGTAACAGATTATACATTTTCTTTAATATAAAATAGAAGATCCCTTGCATTTTTTATATTATTATAATTTTATTTATTTATAACATTTAATATTATAATAAATGTTATTACCATGTTTAATGTTTAAAATTACTAACCCTTTATGTGATTATTTTTCATATTATTATTGTTTTAAAGTTTAAGATTAAAAAAAAAATATTACTTTTCATGTGATATGCTACAAAAACGGTTAACTACATCAATTCTTTTTTGAAACTTCTATAATTTATTTTGAATTATTTTCACAGGTGATTGCCTTGATATGCGGTCTTATTGTAATTGTATTGATGCTGTTGACATTGACGTCCACTGATTGGCTATTATCAGCTGGTTGGCGTCAAGGTTTATTTTCTCACTGCATTGCGGTGAATGCACCCACACCATTGCCTTTTAATGTACCTAATAATGGTCCAGATTGTTATCCAACACGTGAAGTTGGTATGTTTCAATTGTGATATGTAACCTTGATCATTTGATTTAAACTATTTATTTATTTTTCTTAATTTTATTAATATAGGATACATAAGAGTTGCTGCAGCTTTGTGTATAGTCACATTGGTCACAGACATAGTAGCTACTCTTTTAACAGGACTTGGGTTAAGGAGCAAAGATCAGAGAACCAAGTACAAGTTTTACAGAGTAGCTGTTTATGTCATGTTACTTGCATGTGGGTATTTCATTGTAGTTTTTCTAATTCTAAACTACAATTCATTTTTATTAATATATTTATGTTGTGTTTACAGTATTGTCCTTGTTGATAGCTTTGATTGTATACCCAGTGTGTTTTGCCGCTGAATTAAATCTAGGTAAACAAGATTTATTTAAAATTATTTTTTTTACATATGTAATCATATGAATTTTTACAGGAAACCGCACTGTGTGGGAGTTCGGCTGGGCTTACGGGGTAGGATGGGGCGCCGGAATATTTTTATTTGGTGCTGTTGTGTTACTGCTGTGCAACAAAGAATCTGAAGAGATCTACTATAAAGAACGTAAAGTGACATCGTCCGCCTAGTGTGCGGCGCCCCTGCCCGACGTAGTACTTTAGTGACCTTCCGCCGTTGGTCAGACGACGGGCAGGGTGCTCTTATTGTTTTAACAATAAGACAGTCATTATTATAATATACTAACAAACACGTCATATTTGTCAATATCAATTTACATCTTTTGATTTTTGACAGAAATAACTATTCTGGTGGGGGAATATTTGCTTTGCGCACGCATACTAAATGTAATTGTAAAAGATTTTTTCAGTAATCATAATCAAATTAGGATTAGGTTTTTTTTATAGATAGTTTATGTATGAATGTTTTTTCGTGTTTTAACCTTGATAACTTATGGTTTGTGTTTATCAAGGGAAAAGGTACGATATTATTTTATATTAATATATATTATAACATTATTATATATAATAACATTTGTGATTATGGAAGTCGGTGTTGATTTTGGTTTTAAACATATTTTTCATAATAAAACCATACCATTCCATTGTTCTAAATTAATAATATGTTTTTACTACATAAGTATATTGAAAAATATATTCAATGAATACTTAAAAATTACAATTGTATGTACATTTTTAGTTTTTTTGTTTTAAATTTTAAATCCATTATAGTTATTTAAAAACTAACCGACTATACCATTTTGTGGAAGTAAGTTCTTTTATTAATATACTTTCTATTTAAATGTAATAACATATTCATATCTAATATCTATTGATAAAATAGTTAAATTTAGTGATAGTGAATATGAATGTAAATAAAATATTAAATTTTGTATATCATATTATGTTCAGGCATGTTTTTTAAACAAACAGTAGGCCAAAGAGAGTTATCCCTGCCAAAGAAAAAAAAAATGAAAGATAAACTTCCTCTATTATTATAAACATTCCTGTATACTTATAATATCTATATTATTTTGTTGATTGTATATAGTATATTTTCACCTTACCCTTGTTAAAGACTATCCCGTTATATTTACCAGTGTTTATTTCCCGTTGATTTTTTTTTACACTAAGCATTTTATTAATTAAAATATATATATATATATATTGTATTCTTGCCTGATATTATAAGTTTAATGAATATTTATTATTTAAACACTATAGTTTTTATATTAGCATTCGTACAACTTTTTTTCATAAGTATGAAAAATTAATGTTTCCAATATAATGTGTTATTATTTAAATGTTTTTAAATTTTTAATTGTATACATTAAGGACCTTTGTTAAAATTACATATCTTTGTAACGAGCAGTTTTTATAGTGCTCCAAATATATTTTACCCTAAGATTTACAGATCTGATTCAGCCGTCCATTCCAATATCTCTTCATCTTTAAATTATATTTTTGTGTTATTTGCACATTTTGTTTCAATTAATTTGCTACAGTTGTCATAAATAATTTTAGAAACTTAACTAGTATTCTTCATTAGTAAAACAATTGTGAAATTTATTAATATCTCTGGATCATATCTTTACTCTATGTAAGACAATTACATTTTTCTTCCTAATGAATGTTGTAAATATTAAAACTAATATTTTAACAAACTACAATAAAATTATTATTTAAAAAGTATTATGTTTTTATTTAAACCTCAAAGCTTATATTTGTGGTGATAATATGTGCTGCAATATCTCGAAATGATTTATACATATTTTATATAGTATTATGATTATTTTATAAAGAGTTATTTTCTGAAGTGATTGTTTTTAGCTTATGTAAGAAGTAGTTAATATGATGAATCGATAAGCCATTTAATATTTTAATAGAAATTAAGTTCACACACACATTATATTTTTTGTCCTAGTATATTTGTTGATAAAATGAGTTTTTAACAAATGAATATCAATGATTTATTTATGTATTTTTGAGCGAAGAAAAATTGAAAAAGAAAATATTTTTCGAAGAACCTATAATATTCTGTAATTCTTAAAAAAAATAATCAAAGTGTTTTGCAAAATATGAACTCACAAAACCGTTATAGTGATCAAAAAATTAAGTTAGATTCAATATCTGTACATCAATTTATTATTTTGTGCTTTTACATTTATGGAATACTTGCAGTGAGCAGGGACAGATTTATGGAAGGGAACATGACAATCGTCTCCCTCTTCGAATTTTTACTATCGCAGATTTATTTAATAATTTTGATATAGGTAAACAGTCGTACAAATATACATTTTAATAACTATATAAATATTCACTATCGAATACTATGTATATCTTTGTAAAAGTAGCATGTTTTATGATAATAAATAATATTAATAATATTCCTATTCGCTTCCCTCCTTAAACAATTTTCGGATCCGCCCCTGGTTAGCAATTTTCAAGTTGCTTGTGGATTTCGCTTTATAACTTTCAGTAACTAAGATTATACCCGCGGAAAGTAGAATGGAGTTTAATAAATTATTAATTAATTAAGTTCAAAATTCCCTTTTTCGTTTTAAGTTATTTTTTTGTACACTCGTCTATTTGAAGTAGAAATAATCATTTTAAACTCGAGAAACTGGCTGGGACAGCTGTAAAGCTTTAATAAGTACACGCCGTGTGTTGGTGCGTAACTTACAGAATAATAATCCACTATGAAATTTATGATAAATTAAATGACTGATCATTAATGAATAGTTTTGAAAACGAACTAATTAATATGAACAATAAAAATATTAAAGTATTACATTATCGAATCAGATCACATTGCTTAAAACAATCTGAGAATAGTGTATAATTATAAATTAATAATTATACTTACTGCTAAATTAAGTAATGATAAGACAGTATTAACATATTTATTAGTTTTTTTTGGTTTAGATCAATTTTAAATGTAAAATAATAATTTAACTTGAAGTGGCATTAAAGAAGTGCAGATTTATGATTGTTGTTTTAATTATTTTTTTTTATTACAAAAACGCTAATATATAATCAATTATACGTTATTAAATATAGCATTATTACAAATCAACAAATATAGAGAGAAAATAACGTTTTGAAAATACCAAGGGTATAAGAAATATTAAAAACCATACTGATGTATAATTTTAAATTAATCACAACAGTGTAATATAATGTATCAATATATGTATAAAATATATAAATAAATAAATATATATATATATATATGAAACAATTTATTCAACAAAGAATTTATAAATAATAAGATGGCGCGCCGTACAAAGTTTTAACAAAAACTAGAGGTTTAATAATTTTAAATATAAATAATACAAAAACACAACGTGAAATAATAAAACACTATAACCGTCACACGTTATAATACATTGTATGTTGTATACATCTGATCAAATTTTCTTAAAAATTAAACAGAAACGATATTAGCAAACTTTATTTCAAACATTTTAAACTTAAACTGCGTCGAATGTAAAAAAATTAATTATAATTTATTAATTAATAGTGGGTGTGTTTATTATGAAAGTCACTAACTAGTTTAATTATACATTACAGTTTAATGGTCGGTGAGCGATGTCTATAATAAAAATACAATAACTATTATTCACTACAAACACGTTTTAATTTGACGCGTTGTAGTCATTTTAAATGTGTTAATATTTCGTTTAGATTATAGCCAACATCATAGTGTTGTAATAACTGCTACAATATACAAATTATTTATGATGTTATCAGCATATAATTAGATTTGGGCGATACATGGAGAACGAATACGGCTGATAAGAAAAAATAATTACATCGGACGTGAATTAAAATACCGCGAAGAAACGATTATACTATTATTTGTTGTAATACATGTACTGATTGTAGACCAAAAGTCACGCGTTATCTGAACACTGACCGTCGAAACTCGGGAACTAGAGACAGAAGGCATCCTAGACACACATACCTACATAAACTGATTCGATTATATTAATCACATGGCAATCCTAGACACATACTTACATAAACTAATACGATTATAATAATCACATGGCACGTGGGGTATGAGTAAATCCCCGTAACGACAGAAGTGCATAATGCACGTGAATAATACTTAAAGGTCTACTTACACATAACCGTTCCGTATCCGTACCGTCCGTTTCGTGTCCGGCGCTTAAAGTTTGTTTACTTGTTATATAATGGGCATGTTTACACAGGTCCGTTCCGTATCCGCACTATCCGTGTCCGTGCTTTAAAATTTGTCGGAGACAATGTTTTTGGGGATTTCACTGATACGGATATGGAAAATACGGAACTATGTAAACAGCCGTCAGTGACAACTGACAGCTTGATCGGTTTTCATACCTACTCGCGAGACGTATTTGTAAAATTACAAAAAAAAAATTTTAAAGTTTAAAGTATTTAAAAAGTTATTTTTTCAAAAACTTGAGTATTTACATTTAAATCATGTATACCAATATCGACGAAAAAATTATAGAAATGGTTCGTTCTCATATAGAATTAGCAGCAAGGCAAGTACAGCTAGATCTTCTAGCGATTCTGCACTTCCAGTCATATTATAATTTTTTTCAAGCACCCAAAGCAACAATGAAACACGATACGTAAAACGCGCGTTAGGTCAAAAGATAGGTTCGAACAGCACTGAACGGGCACGGACAACGGATGCGGATCGGATACGAAACGGTATTGTGTAAATCCAAAGCACTGAAACTAAACGAACGGAACGGTTAGGTGTAAATAGACCTTTAACCTTAACTATCGAGTTAATCCTCGTCCATTTGTACATGTAAGTATCTACATTGCAGGTAGAGGATAAATGCATCGGGATTTCATATATCCTTCGATCGACGGGCAAATATATGGGGTATCGGGACGATACGTACATCGATGCATATGACCTCGGAACAAAAATGATGACGAAATCAATGAGGATGCGGTTTGTTGATGCGGTTGGAGACTTTTTTTTCCACCTGCCGTAACATGTCCCAGAACGTCATGCTCAAGACGACGTGGGGCCCGAGTCGGAGGTAACACGGAAAGACGCCCTTGTAAAGCCCATGGATTCCTTCTTGTTTGAACGTCTTGGTCATGCATTCCAAATATGATTTATACAAAATACCACGTCCATTGCTGTCCACACCTATTAACAGTGGTAAACACGATGATACAGTGCGTTTCATTAAATAGTCGCAATGCGGCCTATATCTAAACGAAATAAAGGTTGATTTTTTTTTTTTATATAACTTATTAATGGTCGGATTTGAATTATTGAATCATTAATATGTTTTCATTACAACAATGCAAGCTGCTGTACTGCATGCGGGTAAACGCGTCAACAAACGTGATGTGTTTAGTTGGTATTGTTCAAATACAACTGTAGGCCCGAAACATATATGGTGTGATCCATAAATATTAATGTGTTGTGTAAACGTTTCGATGCACAACCGATTAACCGTACGCGCAAGAACACTTGAAACCACTTGTCCCTGTCACTATTCCTACCTTGGTTGTAGAGCCGGGTGGAGACCAGATCGAAAGGTGCCATCACTACGGCCATTAGGATGCCGCCCAGCATGCTGCTCACCAGTGTGCACAAAACCTTCTGGTCATTGGTCAGCAGCCCGTGTTTGACGAGCGCCTCGTTCATCAGACCCATCGTGCTCAGCTGCATGGCTGACGCGACTCCGATGCGCACCATCGCTCCGGTAGCGCCACGCCACAAGCCCCGGACTACACCGTACTGGACGTAGAGCGACTGAAGACCGCGTATTGTGCCAATGTTTTTGTGTTGGTGCCCGACCGCGATGGACTGCGCGGAATTCGACTGGAAGTGGATTTTCAACTGACCAGGGAAAAAAAAAAACAAAATCGTGATGTTAACACTGTATGCACGTATGTCAAGCCGTGCATAATGTACATCCAGATCCGGATTAAGGGGGGGGGGGCTAAGCAGTCTATAGCCCAGGGACCTCAAAAAATAATATGGGATTGCAGCTTTTCTACAGTTATCGATATATAATTAGAAAAATATGATTTTAACAATATTTATTTAAAGATACAATTATATTAATAATTTGAAATAATTGTCTGCGACAACCTGCATGTTATTGAATTAAATAGGTACATATACCACGCAATATACTGTGTTATTTCGTTTTATTTTATCGCTTCAGATAAGAGATAATAAAATTTAAATTACTTATTTTTATATATTTAATATAATTATATTTTAATAGTTATATATCCATATTAGTATATCACTATGAAGACGATAGTAAAAGAAAACGAAGACATTGTGAAAATCAAACTATTTTATGAGGGAAAAAAAAAGTTTGAAGTCGATACTTTCTTTGTTATTATAGATAAATTAATTTCTGAACTCAACAGAAGATTAAATTCTTATAATCTTTTTCTTTCTTAATTCAAATTTTTAGTTAACTTTAATACTGACAATGTCCCAGACATTGATTCATTAAATAACTGTATTCAGTTTTACCATAATGATCTCGATGATAACTTGAAAACAGAAATATCACATTTTTATTATTATATCAAAACAGTTTCTTCAGATATTGAAAACTGTGGTGCTATACATAGGCGAAAATTGGGGGGCTAAGCCCCCAAACTTACCCGTAGCCCCCCAAAAATCTACAAATTTCAAATGTTATAATATTATAAATGAGTAATTTTTTTTTTTTTTTATATATATATATTTAAATAATATTATATATTATGAGGTGGCCATGTTAATTATAAAATAAAAATTATCATTGGTATTGTAGAATTAAATGTATAATATTAGTTTGATCCTATATTATTAGGAATTATTATTACATTGTTTTATTATTGCTATTACGTCATGATCGCGATTGTATATTATATTAAATGTATATTTAGGTACCTACTTTATAATAATTATATAATATACTCTTTACTAAACGTACGATGCCAATAATAGGCAATAAGCCCATATGATATTTGTCATGACGTGTTTATAGTTTATACTACGAGTACATTAGATTAAAAGTTTATTTTAACCGTGTAAAAAATGGGGGGAGGGCAAAGTCCCCCACGGGTCTGCTTGACCTTAATGTATTCAGCCCCCCCCCCCCCCAAACCAAATGTTGAATTTGCGCCTATTGTGCTATAGCAAAACTTCTATATGAATGATGACTTATTGATGTTTTTTCAAATGTACTCGTATATATTGCACTGAGATTATACCTGGCAATACCGTTGACAAATTGTGAAGCAGAACGTTCATTCTCAAAGTTGGCTCTAATTGAAAATCGACTAAGATCTACACAGTTTGAATATAGGTTGTACGCATTAACAATTATATCAATTTAAAATGACATATGTAAAAAAATTTTCATTTTATGACGTTTTAGATACTTTTGCATCAAGTAAAACTAGAAAAAAATATTTTAAATAATCATTTATTTGTATTTTTGTGTTACTACCATATATTTTATATTATAAAATTTAACTAAATTGTATTTTTTAATTAATTAACAATGTAATGTAAATTTGCTGTCTAAGAAAAAATATTTTTCTTATTTGACTAATAAATATCAATTGGCATATTATTATAAAAATACTTTTTTTTGTAAAATTAAGGCCTCAAAAACAAATTAGCCCAGGGCCACTAATTTCATTAATCCGGCTCTGTGTACATCGTGTTCATTTGATCATATAAAATCGCATTTATAGGTCCGAACGGAAAGAATTCTCCGATAACTCGATTTCATCACAAACCCCCAGGCCCCAGTGCAAGAAATCGCAGATGATATTGTTTCGGAACTGTCGGGGCTCTTGGCTTATTAGTCCGGATTACACCAATTGAGATAATCGTCCGAAAACCCCGATGACGTTTCTTTATTTACAAGTGCTTATGCAAGAGGAGTAGTTGACGTTACACCTACCCCTCACCGAAATTCAGGAAAATTAATCAATATGTTTTTATAGAGTAAAAATGATTCTTAGGTTGTAAAAATATGAAAATTTACAACCAAAAACCCTTCAAAATACTTTTTTCAATACGTACCTCTTTATCTATACCTATCGTTCAAAACTCTGACGGACTTGATAGGTGTATTTAATTACAGGGGTTTAAAATAAACTGTGCCGAGGGATTGTGATATCGGTTGTTTTAGTAACAAATAATCGCATGATATGATATCTCGTACACATCCGTGTTCAAAAATAAATTACAATTGAACATTTACATTCTTTTTGTCAGAAGGTGGGTGGTAGTGTCATTACCTTTTTCTCCAATACTATACATCAGTTCAATAATATTGTACTGTGCTCAACAGTGTATGTAGATGTCATGGTGTGGTACTCACCAAGCCCAGCGGACTGGCTAAGAAACCACCTAGCATGCCTGCTCCGGCTCCGACTAACGCGGACTTCGCTAACGAAATATTGCCATCTTTCTTGAGTAACCATTTTTTTTTCTGTGCTATGTCGAATATGCCCAGTCTCGAGCCATTTAAGAACACCTGGAAACCAATCGCCGGCATCAAACCTTTTTGTAGTGCCAACGGTCCTTCATTTTTTGCCACTACATAAAGGGCGTGAGCGAAGTTCCGATAGTGAACTTTATAATTGCCAGATTTCTTTAATTCTCCCTGCAGCTGAAATCTTGTTTTGACTACTTCCAGCGGATTGGTGAAGCACACCGCGCCACTAGCGCCTAAAGCACCTAATATAAATTCCATGTCAGAACATTCCTAAAAATATAATTAAAATATTGTTGTTAATCATAAATTTATTTATAAAATAATATTATTAATTCTAATGGTCACGTATATTTAAGACTATACCTTGGGGCTGTCAGAGGTCAGAGTGCACCCCGTGCCAAAAGATTTTTCATAATTTAAGTAATATTGTTCAGGCCCTATTATTTGTACAATTTCGGACTGCACACTTGATTTTACTGCTTTAAATGAAAATTTAGTCTTGCTACTGTCTTAGAAAAAGAAATATATTACATACATAATATGTATATATATATATTTATATATAAATGCATTCAATTTTAAAAAATTCAATAATACTCATATTTTCTAGTAATTGACTTATTATTTAATTTTTGTTTTGTAGACCGTAGTGCACACACGTTAAAACCGTAGTGCACACTTGTACATTCGTAGTGCACATAGTGTGTCGGGGTGCACATAAAAATAGGGCCTGATATTGTTGAAAATTAACCATATTGTTTAATTCATAATATTTGACACATACACAGCAAGGTCTAGACGCGTAATCGACATATTTGACATTATACTGTAGCTAATTTATTTTTAGTATTGGTATTTATTTTTCTCCGAAATGACGACGTCAACAATAACATATTTACAATAACATACCAACAATAATATACCGTTTATACTCTATTATTATTACTTGATATAATTAATTTAATAACATTAATAACATTAATAACATTAACGAATGTCGACTTGAACGAGTTGTACGGTTTTATTTTGAACCCATCTAATGGCAGTTATGATAGTGTTCACATCATACTTCATGAATGCAAAAGCTGCATCCGTGCCTAATTATTTTTCATCTGCAATTATTTTTATAGGTAAGTTATTTTTTGTGCAATCAAATAAATTCGATTTGTAAATCAATTATACCAAATTAGTATGATAAGTTATTACGAGTATCGTACTACGTGTTTTGTTCTTCCTAGAAAGTTTGAGGTGTATTACTTATATTGTTCTTTAGTTGTTGATTATTTATTTTATTAATTTAATAAATACAAAATAAATAGTTATATAGAACCCCTTATTCTTATGTAGTCTCCTTATAGCCATACAAATATTTGATAGAGAGTGTAGTAAGCTCAAAGGTACTAATATAATATAGGATAATCAATTATACACAGTAATATCATTTATATTTAAAAAAAAAAGACAGCAATATTTAATATATGGTGAACATACATAACAGGAAATATAGATCAAAGGTGAAAACAACAAGTTATTCTCATCATTACACGTGATAGAGCACAAGTTATCATATCTCTACATCATTTGTCATTGGGAGCCCTCGTATAAATACGAGACCGACACCTAATGCAATCAATGATGATTTAGCCAGTGTTAGGCTGATCATTTTCCCTTTTAAATAAATTATTACTCGTCATAGACATTGTTACAGCCATATCGCTGCGAGTATATAATTCTTAACCAGGACTAAACTTATCTTTATACTAGAGCATTAAGCTGTTTTAACTGTTTGTTGGTTTTCTTTTATTAATTGATAAAAGTTGTAACTTTCATAAGTGTTAAAAATACAAGTGTTTCTTAATTATTTAAATACCTATCACTTTCACAATACGTCTCGAGATAACAACGAACGTGCGACGTCGTTAAATAATTATCGAGATACTGATCGTCGAGTCCTGCACAGCAATCACTACAAGGGAGCGGGGGTGCTAAAAATAATTTTTGGCTTCGGGCGTTAATTATGCACGGTACTGCATACGAGGTGTGGCTATTAAATAACGAGATTATCAATTTAGCGATAAGTTGTGTATGGATAAGAGAATAATGTTAGCATATTCATTATCCATAAATATCAATGCATCGAACAATATCAATTTGGTAAGCTTCCGTTTCGTAACCTACGCGTGAGCGTCGTTTATATTTTTCTCTTACATACTGAATTTTGAAAACATGTCAGGCGAAAAATTGAACAGTGAATTAATTTAAAATTTCCAGCTTAAAGTGTCTCATCTGTTAAGCAATTTCTAGCTAAAAATTTAACTACAGTGCTTCAACACCCCCCCCCCCCATATTCAACAGATCTCTTTCCATAACTAAAAAGTGCGTTAAAGGACACACATTTCGAGTCAGTTGAAGCTGTAAAAACAAAAGCGACGAAGGTTTTAAAAACATTGCAAGAAATGGATATCCAACACTATTTCAACCAATGGAAAATTATAATGCAGCAATGCATCAAATGCGGAGAGGAGTAAATAGAAGAAGAAACATTTTAAACCACCAAAATATATTAATAAAAAGATTTTACAAAGAAATTCTCATTATTTAATAGTCATGCCTTGTATATTCACCTTAAAAGACAAAAATATACTTTCCAACTCCCCGTCAATTTGAAGGGAACTACTAATATGTTGCGGGACTTACAAAAGGCTTATATATGTCATCAGACTGTCATATTTCCAAAGTTAAATACTCAATATTATGATTATTGTATAACCATTATGCATTTCAACATTAAAAAGGTCATAACTTATACCATAATTACCATGTGTTTTATAGATTAACATAAATTCTTGAAGAGTATAATATACATAAATACAAATGTATATAATTAAAATTATGTAATTATTATTCGTAATAGTATTTTATGTCTTTATCAGACTTCATTTTATTTTTCGGATGAGATAATTATTTTGTAACATAGTTTTTCTGCGTAACTTTTAATTTAACTAACACAAGAAAGCTGTATTTAATCGACAAAATAAGTAAACTTTTAAAAACATATTTTTAATAATATTAGTTGTATTTATATTGGCTATGCATTTTAACACTGATAAATTCACCTATTTGATGATTTACATTTTTTTTTTTTTTTTAATAAAAATTGTTTAAATTCGGTGAAACAGAATAATTTAAAAAATAAAATAAGTCGTTTTTCGTTCACGAAGAAAGGGAAATATTGATGAATTGGATGTATCAAAATAGAGATTTTAAATAAAATGTTTTAGTAGAATGGATAACAGATGTATCATGTTTAAAGGTAGGGTCTTATATATATTAAAGTATTGATTTCACTAACCGTATATGCATGTGTAAAAGAGTTATAGTCAATAGTTAGGAACCAATAAAGTAAGAGCACAAAGATATCTTAAAATATCATATGCAAAATTCCTCAATTTTATTACAACTTTAAATTATTTTACCACCATAATCGAATAAACTATGATGTGGTATAAGTTAATAGATTTTGCTATGTAATAAAAACTTCGAAAGATAAAGATATTTGTTCGCTTATTCAAAAAACACAATTTTTGTTTGTATACTTTAAAATATCAATAACTTGAAAAATAATAACCTGTATTAGTTCCCAATTTAAGTAATCATTTTAATTTGAATAATCTATTTAGAGCTTATCTTCTCAAAACAGAAAAAATATTTTTTTGTCCGTGTTTACTTATAACATTTAAAATATATCGATTATTGTTAATATTCTTGAATATAATTGGTAATGTTGGGTTTCAAATAACCATTAAAATCGGACTACAAATGGATCACGTTTTAAGGGGATGTCTTATATATGCTGTAAATATAGATTTTACTTAGGAGCTTTAACTAAAAAACATAAACCAAATAAGACATCTTAAAATATTATAAACTTTTATAAATACAATGAATTTTGTTACGCAACAAATACTTAATAGAAAACATAATTGTTTTCACTTATTTAAAAGAGTATAAATTATTTTGATTAAATATTTGAAAAATTCAATCAATAAATTAAAATGGGTCAAATCTTTTGAATTTGTAACGTTCGATAAAATACAACGTCTATGGTTTCCTTAGTATCAAATATCCAGACTCTAAATTATTTATAACAAAGTGAGAATTTGAACTAACAATATAAGTAACATAAAGTAATATAAATTAAGTATAATAAGTAACATTATTTTTAAGTTTCTTTTGTCATAATTGTTTTCTATATTTCATTAATATTAGTAAAGTTATTGAAAAAACTTTATTCTCTCTAAAATAAATCATATGTTTATTATAATTTATAATTAAAAAATTATTGTCAGGTATAAAAACACACCCTTTATATTTAATGATTTCTTAAATCAAAACGGGTTGTAAATATTTATATATTAATTATTGGTACTCCAATAAGAACTTTTTTCATACTTAATATTTTAATTTTATTCATGTTGTTTGTTATAATTAATAATTTTTTTATTATTGTTTTAACAGTATTAATCATTAAGCAATTATATTTTTATTTAATATTTGATTTATACCATAATTACATGAAAATCTTGAGGCAGATTTACTATTCTAGTTTTGCATATTAGTTGTTAGAAAATCGATTATCACTATGGATAAGTATTTAACTATTGATACGGTTGTTAAAAATATTGCGTACGAAAATAAACGCAAGGCTAGAAAGACTTTGTTATTTAGATCAAATATTCGTCGATGTATCAAATCGTTCATTAAAGTTAACAATCAATAAAATAAAATAAAGTGTTATTTCAGAAACATGCAAGTTTACTAATATACTATTCTATAGTATAAAGGAACAGTTCCTAATCAATTATAGTACCTATAGTAACAATAGGTACTTACTATAATTGATAAGGAACACGTTTTCAGCAAATGAATACCTAATAAACGTATATAAGTATAGTAATAAACACATATAAGTATAAATAGATAATACAAATACTTATATGTGTTTATTACTATACTTATAAATAGGGCCGTCCGGATATGAAAAATCAAAGGAGGGAGGGTGAATAATATGAAAAATGCCGACTACAATTTTTTTACTATGTATGTAGTATAATTAACTATATTTAGTCGAATTTTTACTTCTTAATATGTATATATGTGTCAGTATCACACGTTCTTAAAATTGACAGTTTAATTATATATATATAATATTTTATATTGTATAATAAGTAGTTATAAAAATTTTATTCGTGTATACACTGTATTACGAAATATGTAATATTTGTTTTCAGTAAGTAAAATTAGGTCTTTCTAGGCTATAATGAAACAAGTCCAACTGCCAACTGTTGTTTTTGTTGGAGGGAGGGGGAGTGAGACACTCCCCAAGACCCCCTTCGGGACGGCCCTGCTTATAAATGTTTATTAGGTATTAATTTGCTGAAAACATGTAACATATAAGTATAAATAAACAACACAAATACTTATACGTGATATTTCTATCTATTTAAGGAAAAAAATAATTATTTTGATTAGATATGGAAAGTTCAAAAATATTTAAGTTAATCAAAGAAATTTATACCAAAAAAAAAAAAAAAATTAAGTGAAAAATGTAGAAAAAAAACGTATCCACAATGTAGGCAATTTATTATAAACTATAAACTGAAAATTTAACTATACTTTTAGTTGTGCTCTTATATAGTAACTACGGATTATAAAACATTTGGTAGTTATTACAACAAATTATTACACTATTAAAGCAATATGTCGCAACGACGTATGCTCGTTAGCGAGAAGCCGTCGGTCTGGCCAACGGCAGAACGTTGCCGGACTCGAAGTTTCTTACGAGACGGTCGTCGACCAGGTTATTATTATTATCATTTATTAAGTTGTTAATTACATAAAATTCCTGTCACACCTACAAATAAAATTGATAAGAATACAAGTTTGTAGAGTATTGCATCATATTATAATTCCTACTACTACTTCTTCATAACTAATTTTGATTCCGAAATAGATTTTGAACGAATAAACAAATGAAAAATAATTATCTACGGGTACTACACCCATAGTCGACGTGCGTAACAGTAAAAATATTAACATAAAAAATAACCCAACACCATTAAAATAAGTACAATTTACCTTATTTACTTATTAATGATCAATTGATAAATAATAATAATAATAATATTAACTAACTAATATTAATTAATTTATTATTTATTTACTGAATATAATTTACCTTAGTCAGACTTGTTGACGAGAAACACCAACTTCATGTCAGCGTAACTGGCACGGGTCACCGACGAATCCCGAACACGAAGTCAACCAGCTTGTGACTGACCGACTGTTGAGCGAGTGCCATACTGCTGCCATGTGACCGAGAGCCCGACGCCAGTGAGTAGACCCACAAGGTCACGAATCAGCCGTGGCACTCAATCGACCAGCTGATTAATATTTAACGTTATTTAAACCTTGGCAATGATTGTTATGTTGTGCGGCTATTTCACCTTTATACTTATTTCACCGTCAGTTATTGTCCCCGTAAATTATTAACGCAGTCATGACGAAATTTATCGGCCGGAAACCTGAGAACTATTATAATTATAATTGAAACGGTAGAGGGAGTGAGCTCCTCCACTACAGGTTAGGTTAAAATAATAATATATTCATGTTATACGTGTTTTTATTAAGTTATATTTCCATAACAATACGCTTTACAACAGTGGCATAGCCAGGATTTTTAAATGGGAGGGGCTTATCACTTTTTTGGATAAGTAAGGTAAGAGAGGATATGAGAATTCACCCTTAACCCCCCCCCCCACCATCTACCACCAAGTTTTTAAATGTAATTCAAGCATTTTAGTAGTTTTAAAAATATTTATAATATATAATTTATAATAATAATAATAATAATAATAATAATAATTTTGGTTTCAGTATTTAGTTACTTGCTCCACTCTGACAGCTGCATCCTCTTAGGGGAATTTCTGACGAATTCAGTTATTATTTCACTTTCATTGAATTACTCTTTTTTATTTAAATTAGCCATAGCTAACCCATTCAGTCTGTTTTCCAACATGGTGCTTCTTAAATATTTTTTTAAGCGATTAAGTGCAGAAAACGTTCTTTCCGGAGTGGAAGAGGTAACTGGTAATATGGCGAATAATTATAAAAGTATTTTAATGTTAGGTTGAAGATTGGTACAATGAAAGAGTGAATAAACAGCAGAATTCGGTTTTGTAATAGTATTTTGATTCCATTGTTGCCTCCGTATGAACAACAGCTTAGCTCTGATTATAGATGAGGTATCATCGTGGAGATCTTGGGCATATATTTTAGCAGCTTTTATAATATTTTCATCGTCATACACATTTAAATTGGCGGGAATAAGTCCTTCAAGTGGCATAATATCAATAAGCCTTTGATTAAAACGAGCATCCATTGATTCTATTAAATAGTCAAGAAAAAAAATAAAAGTAGAACATTTAAAATATATTTCTGGATTTTCAGAAATAAAGTTTTCTCTCTGAGTTTGCCTTTTACATACTTGTGGCATTTTTATTTCAATATTAACACTTTTTCCCATGTTGACAACGTCATTAAATATTTGATAGTGACTCGATAACCATCAAAAAGATAGTGATAATCATTGTAGAAATTAGAAGTATTAGTAATCTGTAATATCTACGCCAAACACCTGTTATTCGTTAATCGTCAAAATTCAGTTAATATCAAAGGTTTAAAATATTTAAATAAAAATAGTAGTATACTAGTTTAGTACATAGATACACTATACATATAAACATGGCCCATGGGTAGAGTGACCATATTAAGAAAATAAAAAAACGGGACAGCTGTTACTTCCCCCCCCCAAAAAAAACCCCTCATCCATATACATTCACATACATGCACACAAATATCCAAGGTTAAGTCCAAATCTCTATCATATCATAAACAATTATTTTCTTTTTACTTTACACTTTTTTAGTAAAACAACCTTAATAATTCTGTTATCTGTTATTTATAACTTTGGTTTCACATCTTAAATATACGAGTATAACTGTTTTATATTTTTTTCATACATAGATATTTTATTTACAAGCATTAATACATTAAATAATAAATAATATAGAAATAACCTAACCTAACCTAACCTAACCTTCTTATCTTCGTTGATGATATGAAAATCTTCCTGAGTATCAAATCCATCTCTGACTGTCATCTTTTCCAAAATGACCTTCAGCGTCTAGTGACCTGGGGTGATTCTTTGGGACTAACTCTTAATATTCCTAAATGCTCAGTAATGACTTTTTGTCGTATCAACAATGCAATCAATTATACTTACTCGGTCAATAATACCCCCTTGATAATTTGCGATAATTCTGTAAAAGATTTAGGATTCACTCTTACACGTAACCTTTGCCCTAATATGTATAATCAGATAATCTGTTGTAAAGCTCTAAAACTACTAGGTTTCATAAACCATGTCTCTACAGATTTCCACTTGCTTACTTCACTAAAAACTCTATTCTGTTCATTAGTCCGTCCCATCCTTGAGTATGGAACCATTCTCTAGGACCCTTCCACCGCTTCTGCATGTTGCATGATTAAAAGGGTACAAAGAAAATTTCTCCGTCACGCTGTTTATAAATTAAACATATCCTGTCCAACTCACTATTACACACAAATCCAACACTTTTTTTCCTTAGAAAGTCTCGCTGATCGCCGTAAATCAGCTAACATATCATTTCTATCTAATCTACTTTCCTCTAAAATTGACTGTCCAGAAGCACTATCTCGCATTTCATTTAATGTCCCCTCCCGCCGTACACGTTCATCTGCTCCATTCCATATACCATTCTCTTCCTCAAACTACTATCTTAACTCCCCGATCATCCATCTTATGCGCATCACCAATACTGACCCCTAATTCTCTCTCTAAAATCGAGCCTCGTTTCCTTAAAGCAAATTAATATTTATTGTGTATTTTCATGTATTAAAGGGTTCGTCCCGTAATGTAAAAGTAAATAAATAAATAAATAACGGGATTAAAACGGGACAATTTTTTAAAAACAGAATAAAAAGCGTCCCATTCGAAGTTGTCAGGACAATGGGACGTGATAATCAAAAAGGGATAATCCCGTTTTAAACGGGACATCTGGTCACCCTACCCATATGGGGGGGGCTATAGCCCCTTTACCCTCCCCCCATTGACTATGCCACTGCTTTACAACTGTGTTCATCTAATATCACTACAATTCTTAGGATTTTAATTTGTCCGCTCACCCTTGGTTAAAACCGTCGATGAATTACATCCACATAGTAAACGACTTTAATTTGAAAAAATAAAACGATAATATTATAGATTATTATAATTATAATTTCAGATTATAACTAAGTTTGTCGGTCAAAGGTCTTATAGGGATTTGAGGGTATACTACATAAGACTATTCGCTATATTATCCAAGAAAAATATAGAATTGTTTTTACCAACATTGTTATTATAAGGAAATTGTTTCCCTTACTATAATATATTTAATCATTTAAGCACATTATATTATATTTCTACACATAGGTACCTAAAATGATGGTCATCTTGGTTATAGTTGTCGTGAAAAGAACCATATATAATATGTGCTAGGTTGCCCGCTCAATAAAGTTGCCCGATAAATAATAATAACATAAGATGATAGCACAGTTATGATAATAATTGTTTAATTTTATTTGCATAATAGATTTCAATAAATGAATAAATCCATCCACATTAATGGACAATTTAGCACAAATGATATAATATAAATAATATTTGCCTATGTAGGCTTCATTAGTATTAAAAAAATAAAACGTGAATAATTAATAACAATAATAGGTAAAATGTAAATAATATTGATATATAATATAAAATAGGTTATAGGAAAAATGATAATAATTGAGCCCGTCGGATTTAAATAGGAAATTAAATATAAATATGAATTTAGATATTTATATATTATTGTGCCAAAATTTGTGATTAATTAAACTGATATGTTATAAAAAGTACAAGTGTATATGTACTGTCTGCACCTGCTACTATGTATAATATTATTCCTGATAAACTGAAACACTCGAAATTATGTAACATGGATATTTTAAATCCCGCATACGAAATAAACATTTCGCGTACAAATGGTAACGAATCATTTTCTCGTCGATCCGACTACAAAAGCGGAGTTTAAATATATCATAAGTTTTGAAGAAATGTCTTACTGATAACAATAATTCAGTATTTGCCTTGGTGATATAACAGTAGGTAAAACTTTCAATTAGTGCAAAATGTAATTTTCCGTTGGGTCACCTGTTCTAGTGTTTACATAAAGATAAAGCCGCCACTTCACAATAAATATCAACATTTTCTTCCACCATTTACATACTTAATAACACGAGTTTAAACTATTGTTGAACTGGCGGGATCATGCGCAGAAGAATTTTTCCGTTCCAACACACCCGAAACGCAAACTATCAGACTATTGTTCCAACACGTCATTAGTCTAGTTTTAGCTTAGTTTTTTTAGGATTGACAGTCAAAACAGTCCACTGATTCTGACGGGGACTAATAGCATAGATTGCATACACAGTATTATTTAATCTATGTTAATAGTCAGAGAAACCGTTGTCATTATTCATTATTGTGTTGATGTTTCAGTAATACTTCTTATCAATTTTTTCGCTTTTAAATTTTCATGTAACGTTTATAAACAATTGTTTTTGTTTTATGACGCATAAACGTTTATTATATACCTATATAACAAAACAAATATCAATAATTATAAAGTTACGATAGAGGATGTCATAAGGAGTGCATCAATACCGTTTTGAACGTTTTGGGTTTACATTCGATTTATAACGATTAAATAGAATTGTCGTTCCTTATTTGAGGGATATTAATTAATTCCAATCTGTCATCAAATGAAGAACTCAACTAAAAATATAGTCTTCCGAATCGTCAATATCGCTAATTTTGATTTTATTTAATAGCAATAACAATAACGTACCACAGAAATATGAAAATTAATGAAAAAAAAAAAAATAATAAACATCTCCTATCATTATTAACAATCCAAAGGCGTTCCAGCAGAGCCGGAATCCGTGATCAATCCACTACCAATTAATGCGCTGTAAATCAATCACGGATTAGTCGGCAACTAATCCCAAATTCCATGTTGAAATAAACCTAATGTATTCCTATTTAATGGCAGCGTCAATTTTTTTTATTTTGTAAAACAAATATAGATCAGGTCAATCACCACCAAATAATTTTATTACACAAAAACATCATACTATATTTTTATTGTAAAATATAACTTTTGTTATTTCGCTATCTATTAGTTGAAGACAATCCTACAGCGAAGGCGTAATGTCTACGAATTTATAGCGAGGTAATGGTTTTATAGAATCCGTGTTAGGGTACGTTTTCCTTTGCGCGATCGCGAACCGCAATCTAAGATCGCACGACTACTGATACAATGTAAATTAAACATAGATGGTGTGCCTTGCGCGATCGCGGTCGGCGATCTAAATTAGTTTTTATTTTTATTTTATATTTATTTTTGTTTTGAAAAAAAAAATTATGATACTTATAACCAGGTTTCGGGAATTTATTGCTTAAAATCTTAAAAATATGTGTTTAAACATGCATTCATTTTAAATTAAAAAAGACGTATCTACTAATAAAAATTTAATTTAAAAAAAAACATATCTTATACATACCTACTACTACTACCAAATTCCGAAATGAAACCTCTCAAGCGACTAATTTGTGATTTTTGTGTTTTTCTTTCGGCATATTAATTTATTTATTAATTTAAGAGAATTATACCATGAATACGAGTACTAATAATTAACAGACATGAACTACAAAAACAAATACGAACACGAAGACAAATACGCAGTAACGCATTAACAAGAAATCGATAGTGGTCCGTGGTTCTTCGATTACTGAGTACTGGCAAACAAAATAATACTTTGAAAGACAGATAAATAAAAAATAAAATTGTCTTCAAAGCTAAAAATAAAATGGGTTCCCCGAATAAAATAAGCGAAATAACGCTATTGAGTATCGCCCTATCGGCATTATTACAAACAAATTCATATAGATAAAATTGATTTAGAATGAATAATGTATCAGCGTGTTTAATTTTCTAAATAACATTTTTATAACGTATCAAAAATGAAAATTTTACATTAATATTTTTGATTTACGAGTAAATTATCAACAATTATTTTAAAATATGCAGTTTAAATCAATAAATCTCAAAAATATGCAATTGAAAAAAAAATCCAAAATATGCAAAAATATGCACAATAAACTTTTAAACTTCAACTCCAAACACCATAATACAAATTTGTATCATATCAAATTTATTCTATATACTTCCCGAACAAATATGCAAATGCATAAAGTTCCGAGCCCTGCCTATGACACTCATTTTATAATTGACTACTAGTTGACGTTGGTCGAGTTTTTCTACAATAAGTGCTCTAATGACCAAATTTAACAAAGTCGAAGACGAAATTTTGAAATTTGTTTTATATTGATTGTTATAAGTAAATATAATTAGGTATTAAGTATACCAATAATAAAGGTAAATAATTGTTTTTTTTTTTTAGTTTTCTTGCAAATTTTATACTAAATACTTATTATATTAAAAAAAAGGATATAACAATATACCATAAATCAATGAGTGTGCTTATTTCATTATTTTTTAGTAGTTTATAAATTTTATTTATCTTAATGCAACTGCCAATTTTTCCTTTGGTGATATTGATTTCCTTATAAAAAACGTAGGATTTAAGGCTAGGTCGTCTCTTATTATGTAAGTTCAAAATAAGATTAAACTGATTACGGTCTATTTTAAAAAAAATCTTTAAATTTGATCTTATTAATTTTAAAATTATCGTTGATAAGTATCTCGTGATAACCTTTCGTACTTCTTCTTTTAAATAATGGATCATGTTCTTTTATTTTTTCTTCTGATAAATGTCAGAGCAAAACGTCATCATCATCATCTTCAAAATTAATTTTCAATATAATTATGACGTCATATGTATCCATTATAATTAAAAAACTCACAGATCGTGTACACCGTTCACTAGTGTATTTTTCACGTCAAAATATTGAGTACGAATGGATGATGCGATATTTATATAAACATCGAGGTGTAAAATACTTCAGAATAAACCAAGACGACGCGAACGCGATCTTGTTCGTGGTTCGCGATCGCGCAAGGAAAAACGTACCTTAACACGGTAACTGACTGTACTGATGACTATAATGAACTCGTATTTTAATATGGTATTGGTCAAACACAGGACCGTAGCAAGAGGGATGCTAGAAGTGTCTACGCCCCGGGCAAAATTCCTGGGAGGGTGCAAAAAAGATAAATTTGCTATTTACAAGTAAACATATTATTAAGTAAGTATTTATGTATTTACTTATATAACTTATAAATATTATTATGTTGTATTACTATGCACCTACTTATAGTTATCATGTATATTTATATTTTAATAAATTTTTGATTTAAATCAAATTAACAAACGCTTACATAATTATAAGGAAAAATCATTATTTATGTTGCGTTAATAAAATATATTAAGTTTTTTTTTTATAAATTAAAATACTTAAGAGTGCATTTTGTAGTTTCGCACTGGGCGCAATATTAAGTTGCTACGGTCCTGGTCAAAAACGTCGTTGGATAGATTTGTGTTAATGATAATTATATTATAAATGCTGAATAATCATTTTCTTTGAGGAAACGTGAATTAAATGAGTGCATCAAAAAAATAAAAATGGCAACCACCGATGAACAAAGACTGAGGTTTAGGTCCCAAATAATCTATTTCAACACATATTTTATGGTTATATTGGTTATTAGAAGCCTTTTTAAATAATGAGGTTTAAGTACAATTGATTTTTTTTTATTTTCAGTTTAAACTTTTATACAATGACAATATTTAACAATAAAATTATAACTGTTTATAAACACGTTTTAAAATTTGTATTTCATTGAAAGATACATTACAATTTATATATTCATGTTATACTAACGTAAAAAACACCCATTGGATTTAACACAAATAAAAGATAACAGAGACATTTGCAAGTTATTAATTTCATGAAAACGAAAAAAAAAAAATTAAAGCTTATCCATTACTCCATTCAGATTGTAGTATTTTGAAATTGTAAAAATAACATGACCATATTATATTCATAAATAACATATAATATCAATATTTAATTTTACCATAGTTAGTACTTATTAAAAATTAATATTTATCAAGTGAATCTTAAGTTAATACTTAAAAAAAAATTTTTTATAATTAGCAATCATCAGATAATCATAAGAGGGTTTTGATGTATTCATGTTTGACTTTAATAACTTGCACACATATAAAATTTATGGTTATCACAAGTTGCATTAATGAATGATCCAAAATATAATAAATATTAAGTAGGTAGACAAAAAGTAGACTGTTCTACCTTTTAGGGATACACTGAAATTTATATAAATTATAATTTTGAAAAAAAGAAAAAGAGAAAAAAAAGAGTAGTTTTTTTCTTAAATAATAAAAATGAATTCTATAGATTTAGGTTACTATACTTTATACAAACATATATACATTAATTATAAAATCAAATTTGAAAATTTATATATACATCACAGTTAGGTAGCATAAATTTTACATTAAGTACTAAAAGACAGTTATTACATTACTTATTTAGCATAAGTTCTAAATTAAGTTTACATAAATTACAGAATATGTTTTTTTACATATTATATTTTGTTAAAATGTATTATACTAAATATTACATGGAATATAGTAAATAACATAAAAAAAAATGTTTACAACTATTTGTTTTTGACGACTTAAAAATAGCACACAATTAAATAATAATAAATCAAATAATATATTTAGTAATCACAAAATTGTTAACTATCTTGTAACATAAGTGTATGGCTTTGAATTGTACATAAATTAATGATCAGTTTACTGTTTTATGCAATAAAACAATTTTTTATTAATATGTATTCAAGCATATGTTAATGTGAATGTTATTAAACTATTAACTTCATATTAAATAAAATAGTATACACACAACTCGCTTTAATAAAATATTGGCAAAGAACCATTATAAATTTAAAATATAAACTAAATAAAACAAATAAAAAAATGTTTATTTATAGTTTGTAAAATACTAATAAATGGGAAGCTTAATTACAAATTAAAACATGAACTCTTAGTCAAAAAAATAACTATGTCAAAATCAATGTTTGTATAAATGATTTTAACATATACAAAATAAAAATCAATAAAACTTACTTATAACTTAGAAGTTTGTTTAGATTTTCAAGAATAAATAACAAAAATATATTTATTTGTTATGTGCATTTCAGAAATATTTTACACTAATAAGATATGCATCCAAATTTATGAAACCAACAAATAAAATTAATAATTACTTACCATATACAATAAGTGTATCACTTTAAATAAATAATAGTTAATTTTTATACTGGTGACAAATCAATACTAAATAAAAATACCAAATAATATAGTTTATGTAATTTATATAGTTCACTTTACTATGTATTAGTTTTGTAAAATATATTTTACTACAAACAATAAGGACTAGAATCTTACATTAGACACATTATTTTAATATATTAGTAACGAAAACATTAAAATAATGAATATAGAATTAGTGAGTTTTTAAATTCAATTATAAATGTTTTATTTGTTTATAAAATAACAAATTAATTTAGTTATACATATAAATATTATTTTCTTTAGTAAATAAAAGAAAGTTAATAAATCTTGTATTGCTGTTTGAAAAAATTAAGGTATACCCTTTCCATTTATTATGTTTTATACTTGTATAAATTAAATATTTTCGCTATAAGTCAGTATTGTTAGTATATTCTCATTTTTTTATGGTAATATATCAAAAATATTGTTTTATAAGAAACCCAAAACACTTTTTTCTTGAACAGATCATTGCCATAAATTATGATTGTGTAAATTTCTACTTAAAACACTACGTACATCATCAGTAAATCGTAGCGCATCCAACATTGGTAAGAGATTTAACAATGCAGTATCTGAAGTATCTGAATACCAAGATTTTATTGGTATTGCATTATCTAAATAAAACATACATCATATTATAAATAATACAATAATTTTGAATAAAAATATTGTAAAATCACCAGAAAATGCTCGATAAGCTGCTGGTGAATTATCAAGGATAAAAACACTTGATAGATCATTTGAAACTGATGTCAAATCTTTAGTGTAAGAACCCATTTCAGGTGTACAGTGTTGCCTGTAAAATCGTCTTTTTAATATCCCTCTTCGATTGTCTAATTTATCAGCAACTGCAGCACCATAAATTTGCATACTAGCTGTAAAGACTACTAGTTCATACCATTTTGAAACCTATTAATAACACAAGTGAGAATTAAATATTATATACAATTTTTTTAAATTAAAATTAAAATCTAGTAAATTTTATACTTACAACATCTAAAAAAAAATCAACATGTGGCCTTTTATGAACATAAAATCTTACAGGATGTCGTTCAATGGTAACTTTTAAAATGAAATCTGGTGGCATTTCTGGTTTGGACGGATGACGTAGAACACCTTCATGGTGTGAATGGATTAATGTCTCATCTAAATCTAGCACCAAAACTTTCCGCTTTACCATACCTATGTTCATAAAAAATAAAATAAAATAATTTGATTGAGTATACAAACATAGGCAACATACTTAATCTATGCCTGGATAATGGTAATAGTGGAAATACACCATATTTAACAGGTTGATATTGACGAACCTGAAATAAAAAATGACCAGTTTCATATAAATATATATTTTCTAATTTATAATTATTATTAGGCTTAGGGACTTCTAACATTTGTATATTTCTTTGAAAGATAAATAAAATAGCAGTCTATAGAAGTACTGTTCTTGATGTAAGGAATCTAAATCTTAAATTGTATTTTAGTTTTTAATTTTTAGAACATATTTCAGTAGTATTTAATTTCTAAGTGGTATAAAAAGTTAGGTTATTTATACCATGTAATTTAACATTTCTAAAATCCAATTTTGGATTATAACTGGAGTCTATAACATTTTTGGAAAAACAAGGAATATTGCTATCTAATTCATTAAATGAGTTATAAAGGTTTTAAACAAAAAACACTCACAAAGAATCTCAATGGCATTTTAAATAAAAATTGAAGCTTAAAAATTGTGTCCAAAATGTTAAAAAGGTGAAGTTAAGGATATGGATGGATGGCCTGAAAGTCTAACAAAAATGATGATCTAATACTTATTTAGTAGTCTGCATGCACTACTTTCATCCATTGATGTGGAATGAAGTTTTTCAAAATATAAAAATTTACTTTCAAATAACCGCTACAGATTTATGTTTGAACACATAAGAAAACATCTAATAGTATTGTGTAATTTTCAGGGTAAAAAAATAGGTGAAAAATTTAAATAATTTAAATTTATTGTAAACCTATTATTCTGTTTTGAATTTTAGGCCTACAATCAAGCATTGAGTTTGATAAATAACTCTCAATTCAATTAAAACATATATTTTTTATGAAAATATCATTAATATTAATATAATAATTTTAGAGCATGTTTTCGTATTTATTTGGTTCTTTTTTAAAGCATATTTGTAAGTTTTTTAGAGTTAAAAGTCCTTAAGATTGGTTATTATTAGGGAACAGATTTATATGTAATAAAAATACAGAAATATGTACATATATATGTAAGTATAATTTATAAAATATGTGCTAAAAACATCCAAATATGTGGAGAAAAAAATTTAAAAAAAAAAAAAATGATTATTGTTATTCAATCAATTGTTATCAAAATGATTTGTTGCATTAAAAGCATATTTCAAGCACATACTATCAGAAGGCGATAATTCCAAATTTTTAGTGGCGTCTGCCACTCATTATGTTATTAACTGTTTTAAAATCAATATAGCCTGGAAATTTTTTCTGTAACAGCATGAATTTTCTTTTTTACAACATTTATTAGTCAGCTTACGAGTTTTAATCATTGTTTCAACAATTTGCATACTATCATTTAGGGACATATTTTTTATTAATAATTTTGTTAAGTTATTTTTAATTAAAATTAAATTATTTTCAATGTTTCATTTTGCATAATCTTTTGAGCTTTTCCAATAGCGATAGAAGTTTCTGGATCTAATTTTGAAATAATTTCTTGTATTTTTGTACGAAGAAGACGTATGAATGATGAAATGATAAAAATATTTACCAATTAGTAAAATATATATAAATATGTAAAGATATGTAAGATTAAAGTATCATCATTTTAATAAAAATATGCATTTACATATAAATCCGTTCCCTAGTTATTATTAATCAAAAATAGTTCACAACACAAAACAATTTTTGACTCCAATATATTATTATACATTAAAAAATAATATATTATCTTTGATATATAATTATAATTAATTTATCATTTCATAGCTTCAAATAACATAGCTTAATTTTAAAATATTTGTTTATTATTTAAGTATTCATTAAGTTAAGAGGTTTAGAGTTAGTGACTTGATTAAGTTTAATATGGTAAAAGTGCTGAAGAATTTTTTTTTATTCTTTATAGTTTGCCATTGTCTATCTACTTGGGTGTCGTGAGGGGGTGCATTCTACCATCCTAAATTCATTTTTTTTTAAATACTAGAAATTATGAAAAATGTATAAGTTTACATGTAATCCAATAAAAATTGTTTTCTATATTTATATAACATTGGCTACAACATAATTAGTATATAAATCATTATTTTTTAAATTAAAAGCTTTGATGATGGAATATAAATCTGAAATTAACTAGTTTGCGTTTTGAGGCTTTAAATTTAACTTATTTAGGTGCTGAGTTATATCAATAAGAAAAGCTAGTTTCTATAACTATGACAAATTGGATAACTCAGATACAATGCAATTTTTTTTAGTCATAAATAAGTCGATTTTTGAATGTTGATAAATAAAACTTTTCAAGATATTACCTTGTCTAAGCCAATGAACGTCATAATGGTAGGCAATACTAGGGTATTCTATTTTAAAGAGAAAGTTCTTAAACTAATGATTGAGAACTTTTTTCAAATATAATTTATGGTTAGCACAACAATATTAATAACTTCAGATCATGGAGCATTTTCCCTACACAAGGCTTGGTTGATAATGCAGTAAATATCCATTGGTTTTGCTATACCAGTTTCCAATACAACTTTAAAAACACTACCAACTAAACTTTTTTGTATTCTACATATGTTGTTTCTTTTATGAGTTACTTTTTAACATTTTAAAATCAAGGTCCAAAAGAAAAATAGTTTTTTTTACCTTAAGAAAAATGTCACTCAATTGTATTTACCAACAGGCTAAAAGTCATGAATATATACACTTTATCTGGAAAAATCTTTTTAACTGTTTTTAAAATGCATATTTTTACAATTTCACCACGGGTAAAAAATTTTCAGACTTATTGTCAGAGTATGAGCTACTTAAAAATATGTTTTTACAAGATATTCATTTTGATAATACAGTTTTTGTAAAAGTTGATTATTGATCTAGTAAATTTTGTTTTAAAATTTTAAACTTATTTACAGTTTTATAGATAGCCTGCTGTTATATTGACATGCACCTGGTTTTAAGATGTCTAAAAATTATTTCAATTAGGCAACCTTTTCTCAATAAATTACACAAAATACGGACATTAAGTTTGAAGAGTAAATAACTAGAATTTTGCATTTTATTAAAAACATGGTACTCTTTATCAACTTTCTGATGTTTATTTAAAACTCATATTTAAATCCAAGTACAGGTATAAACACGATACTCGATAAAAAACAACACTGAACGGCAATAATTAAAAACTCATTCAATATTATGTACTCATAACTCATATATTGTTAGAGCATATATAATATATTTTCAAAATATTATTTAATTTGGTGGACCGATTTGAAAAGCTTGGAAGGCTGTAGATCAGAGACCCTTGTATAACAGTATGGAATATATATTTATTATCTATTATATTATTTAAATACTATGCACCTTCTGGTAACTATCCTAGTGGAGTCAATGATTAGCTCATATCATGTTAATTTTTATGATATTTCATAACAAAGTTAAAGAGAATTGGACCAATAAATTATTTCATACTGAAATACACTGAAATTTTAAAATGTTAATATATGATTTAAATCTATATAAAGCTAAGATTGTGTAACTAACCAAGGTTTGGTTAATAACATATATAAAAGGAATAATTTGAACTGATGCAGATGTCAATATATAGCTTGAGTCATGTCTATCAATTCATTGTTGGTTTTTCAAACCAATAATTGTCTTGGGATTGATTTAGATAATATGATTTGATATTTGTAAAATAAAAATATTGATATTGATAAAAATATTTTAATTCTAATACAAAAATAAACAAATAAAATAAATAAATCATAAAAGGTAACCATGATAAATTAGTAGTAGCTAAAGAAATCTTACTTAAATATCTAAATTTTGATTAAGTGATAATTAAAAAAAATAACTCAGTTATCTATTTAGTTTATTTTAATACTTGTGTATATTATAAGTATTTTAATTTTTCATTTTAAATTTATATTAATGATTTTATGTCGGTAATGAGAAATGTCCAAAATAATTTTAGTCTTATGATATTATCTAATTTATTGATAATTTAAACTTACGGTTTTAATCTGTCGTTTTATAAGAAAACATATGCAAGCCCACACCTTTGAGGCTAAAACCATAAAAGCTTGTATGCCCATCTGTATGACTTTCAACATTTGAAAGGTAATAATTATGACAATGGTTGGCTCATAACTTTATAACAGTTTAATTGGTATATACATCACACGTGAATACAGACAACCGAAGAATATTACATCTGAAAACATAAATTGAATGTGATCAATGGCTCATTGGTTTTTTTCATTCCTCAAAATGAATATAGAAAAAATGTTGAAATAAACCAATGTTCTTCCAAAATGTGAACAAATGTACGTACTGTTATCGACATCATACTGTTCAAGTTTGCGGAAAAATAACTTATTCCGAACAAACGCAATTGGAAACAAGCATTAATGAAATTAAATGACATACAAGATTTAAAACGAGATCAAATTGAAAAAAAAAAGAAAATAACTGTGAAACATTTTCTCCTTTTTCTTACACCTGTAATCAGTTTTATTCCAAACAACAACAAAACGAGATAAGAACATCACGCCATAATGACCAAAGATATTGCAAACAAAAGTGAATAACACAATCGCACTCCACGACAAAACATTTCTCGGAACGCATTGTTTGATGCCTACAGCGGCGTCGTAAGGAACAACGTTGAACCGTATCTTAAAAACGTTAAAAAAATCATAAATATAAATATAAATTATCATATTATTGTAAATTCTAAAGAACGCGCGAGAAGCGTATATTATGTTTTGTATACTATTGGTGCCAGTGGCGAACATTCAAATTAGTTTTAATGGGGTTAATCAAATAATACACCCGAAAAACTATAATTTTATTATTAAATCTTTTCCGACGTTTAAACACATGTATGCAGAGACGGAACTAGGCATTTTTACGCCCGGATAAAATGTTTAAACTACATCCTATTATAGGCCAAGAATCAAAAACCCTTCCTTACAATTTTTTGCTATCAACTGGCGTATAACCATACTTATTGATGTTTAAACACATTATCAGTAACGAAGTGAAAAAGCTATCAACTGGCGTACAACCATACTTATTGATGTTTAAACACATCAATAACGAAGTGAAAAATATCAAACTAGTGGTCAATAATAGATTATATAGAGACTAGAAAAATTACGCCCGGGTTTGAATCCCCGTCTTCCTCTCTCTAGTTCCGCTACTGCATACATTTTATACTTAAAAAAAACCACTCAAATAAAAGTTCCCTCACAACTTATGGGAGTTCATTATTATTAATATGCACTATATTTAAAACAAAAATACCACCACTTTCTCTTTATTCGATAGTTTTACCAACACTTCATCAAGGGTAATTGGACCATTTTTGTTGATTAAGAGCATAACTAGCCCTATTGATCAACCCTTTTGAAACTAATTACAACATGAGGTTAAATTGATTATTATTATTTATAATATACTGTTTAAACTATAATATTTCAGGAATAAGTTTGGGTATTAATTCTGTTTAGCGTTGAAAATGTTCTTATATTGTTGGCTGAATAAATCAGAAGGGTTACTAATATTTTAAGTATTATAAAAACATTTCGGTACATAGTTCCATTACATAAGTAAATAGTATTCATAGCACATTTTGATATAGCCTTTTCCGAGAGAGCTTTTATATTTTTTTGCCGAACTCTGAACTCATTATAAAATCGCTTTATAATTGTATTTCCTTCCTCCTCCTATGAGGGAATGACCTTCATTAATATGCCACTGATTTCTGAGTAGAGGTAAAAAACTTATACTGTTGAACGTTTCGTCGATCCTCAAGTGAGGATTTATCTGCGAATGATTTTTGTAATCGATGCGCAATAAATTATACTTGCATATCTTTAGTTATAATAAGGACTATGATTTATATGCATTAACAAATTGTAGAATATGCATTTTATTTACCAAAATATGCAAAATTATACAAAAAAAAATTTTTTATTATTTCTAAAATTATTATTTACGTATCATAACTTGCTTTTATTGTTTATACTAATACCGCTTATAAGTCTTACTGAAGAATTGAAATACTTTTGTACTATCTCACAATATAAGTACCTACTAGATACCTGCATGGACCAGGTTTCTAAACTTTAAATCAAGGCCAAACCGTGGTTTTTTTAAACGAAACAAGGAACTCTGAGTCGGGATTTTATATATTTAAATTTATTACGGTCCGGGTCGGGTTTTTTCAGAATGTAAAAAATTAGTACAAAAATTGAAATTTTAGTAATAAAACATTCATTGGGGCCGAGTTAAGCTTTGAAAAATATGTTTAAGGATTTAGGCCAGTTTTATAGCCGAACGTTCATACGTGGTATTTTTAAAATTACATTGATAAGTTCATAAACGGCGATAGCAAAAACCCATACACGCCCTCGTCAATTTGGCGCGTATGAACTTGAATAATGTAGTTCGAAAACGTCGCGGAAGATACGCACGGCTATGAAACGTGTTTTATACGTCAGTAGAAAATCCGGATCGTGCCTAACATTTTTGGTCCATGCAGATCTCTAATAAGCATGTCGTTAAATGTGTGAATAACCTAACCAAGATAAGATTATATATGTAATACATTTACGACGATTCGAAAAATAAACGTTCATTAAATAAATACCATTTAAAATTAATAATATTATAAAAACTTGGAAATTTCAGTTTAAAAATTAATAAAATTAACGAGATTTTCAACAATCTAAAAAAAAAAAAAAAAATGGTTCTATTTAATCGACAATAAGCCAAATACATAAAGAAAAACCATGTAAATGCATATAAATCCTAGCCCTAGTTATAATATATTAACTATACGTATCTACGGTTATTTTACACCGATATGTCGTACATAGGTACTAACATGTTATCTGTAATATGTTCACATTGTCAATTTATATTACTTTATTATAATTATTTAATTATTATCTTTATTATTATTATTATGATTATTATAAGTACATCGGTGCATCCCAGTTGGATACCAAACTACACCAGTTATTTGATTTTTTTACTACTACACTAGTTGAGTCTCAAATGATTTCAAGTAGTACACTAGTCAGGTCCTAGAAGTTTTTCGGTAAGTTCAACTGTATTCTACATTACAATTTTCTTTCCCATTTTTTTACTATTTTAGATAGTTCAAATTTTGAACTGTTATTTTGCTGAAGATTACAAATGTTTTTTGGTTGAATTAAACTTAAACCGTTCCAAATATTACATTTACCAAAGGTAAACTACCAAGTTGTATTGGAGGGTGGAGTGACTCAAACAAAATAGACCAAATTGTTTTAGTTAATTATTTTATGCTTTATTTATTGTAAATATAATAAAGTAGCATCGGATGGGGAAAACTGGAGACAAGGATATATGTCGGGATAGTCCTAGTGGCCGAGTTTACCGAAGAAAAAGTAGATATATAATAACGCCTACTAATAGATGGATTAGTAGAATTATGGTTTGAAAATATGTGGATTATTTTATTTTTGTTGTGTTGAAAATTCTAAATAAGTTTAGTGACCTGCTCTGTACGCTATGGGTATTAAAAAAAAATTTAAATGACGCCACTGACTTATAGAAATGGAGGATATAATATTGACTATAGAATACTATATGGATATAATAAGTATAGAAATAAACTATAGGCAGCTCCAGATTTAAGATTATATATTTCATAATATGAACCTGATTTAAAAAAAATTATGTAATTCGAAACAAGGTCAAGGATCTCACTAAATTTTTATATTACAATTGTTTTTATCTTTAAACATGTAAAATAATTCATTTTTTTTTTTTTTTTTGAGTGTCTTATTACAAAATACAAAAATTTGTAAATGCTTACATTAAATTATATTTACAATATAGTATTTTTCATTTGAATATTTTTAGAGTAGGCATTTACGTGAAAAAGAAATGTAAAAGTCCTAATGAGGGGCTTAATTTAGCATGATATTAAGCTTAGTAATACGGAATAAAAGGACAGGAACCGTTGCTTTAGATGACCCACAGGGTTGAGAATGTCTACATTTTAAGCAAAATACTATGTGAGTTTTTTGTTCAATCATGCTTATTATGCTAGTTATTGTATTAATTAAAACTATACATGTTTATAGATATATTTCAGAAGCGGATACAAGGGAGGCAATGGGGGCAGTTGCCCCTCCCCGTTCAACAAAAAAAGTATCAAATTTGACTTTTGTGATTAATATTTCATTTTTAGAATTTGGGTCATCAAAATATGTACACCTATCATTTTAATCCCCTTTTACTATAACTATTTACTACTGCATCTTTTACGATAACAGTAATTAATAAATCTATTTTTAAATTAACTATGCATGCCGTATACAATCATGGTTTTACCGCTACTTGTGGCTTGCATTTGATTGTCGCTGTCGTATCGTTCAGTTTAAAATCATCTTGTTTTGATAATATTGTGTTAAAAATATAATATAACATTGATATTTTATCGAATAAATTAAGTAATCGCATATTTGTTTTTCTGCAATTAAGAGAATAAAAACTTGGCTGCGGTGCAACATGTTACAAGAAAGACTTTCTGGATTGGCGATTATACATTGTCATCGAGATCAACATATTGACATAGATGAAGTGATAGATATATTTTTAAAAAATAATAGAAAAAAATATTTTATAATTTAAAATATTTTATTAATTAATTTATATATAATATTTATCATATATAATAATTAGCGGTAATTTATAAAGATTAATAAGTTTTTTTTAAATAGATATTTTTTTAGCCTATAATTAATAAATTCCCCCCCCCCCGTTTAGAGCCTCTGTATCCGCCCCTAATATATTTATATGTATTGTCGTCATACTAACAATACAAAAATCATTTATTTAGTTATTTAATATTTATGTGGTTTTTATGATGATTTTTTATGATGGCATCGCCATCTACATATTGAAATCAGCTAGTCATTGACTCAGTGATAACATAATATATTATTATTGTAGAGTAACTTAACGACTTACAATATTATCTACGATCGAAACCATCGGCAATATACATGATGTTTAATGAAAACGATTAAAGGATTTATTACTATCTAATGACGATCTACATACCACATGCTTAAAATAATTTATTAGATATAAAAGATATGAAATCGTGTTACCACATAAAGATTGGAAACAGGATTAATATATCATTGTAAAAACGGAACAAGATTATTGTCCACGCTGAACCGGATAAAAAAGTGAATTTCTGGTGTATTGCGAATAAAATTTAACTACTGAGTCATATTTTTTACAGCATTGAAATTATGAGTGTCAAGATAAACTCAAAAATATAATTTATTTATATATATATACGAGTATGTTGCTGAATTTTTATGATCTGTATGTTACGTTTACACTCAGTAACATGAAGAAAGCACCGCATCATTGGTGTACCTGGTAACTGGTTAGTTAGCTTTTCGTAAACGTTGTACGTTGAAAATAGATAGATTTAATTTGTA